GCGGGACGGGGGTGCATTCCACCAATTAGCTAGTGCGTCGCTGTCCGCCGGCAGTGACTGACGTGAAAGCATGGCTGTACGTGTTATTTTTCTTAAGACTGCTACAGACGGTATTATTTTGCAACATGGATAATCTGCCTACTCTGCGTCACAAAAAGATTTCAAAACTTGAAGTTCGGTTTACAGAGGTTCTACTGTTAAAGTTCTAATAAAGAATATTAATTATTTTACTTAATTTTTAAATTGTACCTATCTGAATATAATTTACATGATGAAGATGAGGTTTTTTTTATTAAAATTGTTTTACAGTATTAAATTTTACAATTAATCATAAAAACATCAGGAGGGCCAAGCTTACGGCGGTTTGACTATAGCAACCCTAAACTACGTATGAAAAAATTTAATGATAAATCACAGTTCACTGTGATTTTGTCCAATGTCTATAACACTCTCTTTGGAGGTTTTGGCCTACTATATCACGCCGGCCAGACGGTACAGGGTTCGTTTCAAGTTTTCCTTCTCTTTGCAGTGCTGTTGTCCTGCGTAATTTGCTCTCTTAATCGGCTCTTACGACAATAATCTCAATAGGGGTGGTGACACTCCTTATCCTCAATCCGTCACCACACGGATACGGTACTGTGCCATGTAGGTCTACCTCATTCAAGGGCTGCAAACTCAAACTTTCTTTATTTCATAAAATTTCCAAAATTGTTTGAAATCGTCTTCTATGTAGACTCTTAAGTCATAGATCAACACACACAAAAGCAAAAATCTCTGTTTTGTCAAATAGTAACCAAATAAATTTAACAAAAATCAAACCCATACAAAATCTATGATATGCCTGTGCCGATCTACAACCGCCCGTTTCCAAGGGGTTGAGACTTATGAGAAGAAAGGGCAAACAAACTCATGGCCACTCTTTTGCAATTCACAGATAGATACAATGGCACTATTAAATATACCACAACATTGTTTTGATGTGTGCTAGTATGTCCGTTATTAAGGACTAAAAGGTGAAAAGACCATGAAGAGAAAACAAGATTAAGAAGAAAAAACGAATACAAGAGAAAATGAAGTGAAACATAAAAAATAGAAAAAAAAATAATAATAATAAAAAACATACTAGCCACACCACATTTTTACTTAAGAACGAAATAGCCTGCGCTAATTAATCAAAAGCTGCTCCAAGCTGCTCCAGCTCTCTTACTGCTAAAATGTTATTCACCGTGAATTAGGTCTTAGATTAGAGAAATTAGATTCAAGAAAAGGCCGGCAACACGTTCATGGGCGGCGATAGTCACTTCCCACCATGACCCGTCTGCTCGATAGCCTTCTCTTCCATAAAAAATCGGTTGTCTGTAAAGTCGGTTTACTGACGATAGTTGAACGTGACAACGTCATAAGAAAATACTGATGGAATGGTAGCATTTTTCAAAAATGTATTATTGTATACGAGTAGCAGCTGTCCACGCGGACGCATCGCTCACTCAAGTAGGAGAGAGACAGATGTCGAACGCTGCCGAACGCGGAGGCCGATTGTGCCTCTTTGTCATTCGTTCCGCGCTCTCGCTTGCACTTCACGCCTTAAATGGAACGCCTCAGAGCGAGGTAACGCCGCTTGAGTCATGTTTTTCGTGCGTGCAGCCGGCTCCATCGAATTATAAGACGTTGTCACGTCAAAAACACCGTACATAAGCCTATACAATGGCTGTTAAAGGTATACTGGTCGAAATATCTCTGGTAAAAATAAAACAACTCATCAAAAATATGTTTTATTAACTCTCATAATAAAATTTAAACCTAATGAAGTAAAATGTTGTACTACCCACATCGTAACGAGTAATATATTTATGAATATTATAGAGCTGCAGAATTTGTTTGTTTGTTTTAACGCGCTTATCTCAGAAATTACAGGTTCGAATTGAAAAATTCTAAGTGTTGGATAGTGCATTTATCGAGGAAAGCTATAGGCTATATAACTTCACGCTACTGCCAATAGGAGTCGAGTATCAATGAACATTTATTCCTTATGAGACGTATAGTGTCAGCTAGTGTCTTGTAATCTTAGATCAAATAAAAAAGTCAATATGGACCTTTGTAAAGACCGAACAGAGGCCGGTTTTATAAACATGTGTGCGTGTGGTATCATAACTTTATTTTATTGTTTCAACGCTTACTTTTTTTTTCTTTTATGATAGAGGGGGCAGACGAGCAGACGGGTCACCTGATGGAAAGTGACCATCTCCGCCCATGAACGTCTGCAACTCAGGAGTCACAAACGCGTTGCCGGCCTTTTAGGAAGGAGTTCTTTTCTTGAAGGTCGCAAATATAAATATAACCTAGAGGGAACAAGAGCCCCAATGTTGCAATATAGGCAAAGAGAGAGACGGATAATAGGTAGTCCCCTCTGTCTCTTACTAGCCGAGCTAAACAGAGACAGAGGGAAATATCGGCATCCATCTCTGTCGTTGCCTGTATCGCTTTAACTTACAGGCAACTGTACCCCGTGTTATGTGTCCGTTTACATTAAAAGTGTTGTATATTCTTGAATATCAATAGTACTGGATTCCGATTTTTAGTAGGCACTATACACAATTACTACTAAATGATACAAAGTTTTCAAAAATATTCATTAAATACTTTCCGTGTTCCAGGTGGCTCCTCAATTCCCTAGCAGAAGCAGGCCGGGGTGGCGGCGAGCGCGTTGCGAAGCGCGCTCGCTTACAGAGAGCAGAGGGAACATGGGGTTCCCACACGGGGAGGGTCGTCTACTCGTCTGTAGATGGCCCGAGGTATGTCGGGGCACCAGGGACTTCCTTTCTAGAGTATACCGGGTTCCCCGGCTATTAGTACCCGCGTGCGGTTTTAGTCGGTTCGAGTCCGACATGCCACCGTGGTGGTGGTGGTATCCGAGGGGATTTCCGCACGGACAGAAAAAAAAAGGTGGCTCCTCAATTCAAATGTTTAGATTGAGGAGCCACTTTTACATTGACGTAACTTTGTATATATCTTACTACAAATTTCAGGATTTGTCCTACAAAATTATTTTCTCACCTACTAAATGAGGGGGTAGTTTCCGTTTAAAATTCGTTTAAATTCTAAAATGGCTCCTCAATCCATACTTACACCGTGTTATCTTTATGCTTACTTATACAATGAAATGCGATTCCACCCTACTATCTATCCCTTATAGTTTGATTTTTACACCCTTTTAGACACAATTCCTACTTTTAAATACTTTTTACTTTAAATATTTTCGACATCTTTGATGATGTTTGAGTGACAAGGCGTAGTTTCGTGGTACGTGTGTGCGTGTAATTGTGTATGTACACGCCAAGGCGTAGTTTTAATCGGCCTCAATTCTTTGTTCACAGAGTACCATCTTAAATTTTTATTTGATCTGAGATTATAATAGGCTTTACACACCAGCCGATGACGTAACAAACATAACTTTTTTAAATTTTACAATCAGCAGTTCTTGAGTGACCATGCCAATTTTGTGCAGTAACCTCGGCTCGATAACTATGTATAGTCAGCGACAAAAATAAAGCTAAACACATTCTATATAAGGGGTCATCCATTAATTACGTCACACGTTAAAGGGGGAGGGGGGGGGGGGGGGAGGTCGACGAAGTGTGACCAGGGATGGGAGGGGTCCTAAGTTTCGTGCCATCACACTTCAAATCTAATATATCTAAGTATGAAAACGCGGTATTAATTAACAGTAAATATAATTCATAGTTTTGTTAATTTTTGAAAATTTTCAAGTTGATGTTAGTTTTATACATCACGTATATTTTAAGATAAACAAATAATAACTCGAAAAAAAAACAAATATTTTCTTAATTGAACAATTAATTTAACACTATATATATATATTTTATTTGCTTTTTACTTAAATATAATTATCACAAAATAAAACTATGAGCTGTAACCAAACGGTTTACTTCTAAGTAGTGATGTGCCAGGTCCTTATACAGATACAAAATCATTTTTCCTCCTTCGTATAACTGCGGATAATCAGCACATCACTAATACTTCTAACATTAAAAAAATAACATAAAAATATAACAAACTGAGAACAAATGAAGTCAAATCAGCTTTTTTTACAGTCACACATAAATTGATCCATCCTTTTAGGAGTTAGGATGTGTAGATAAACTAATACTACTTCTGTTTTAGTGATAAACAACTAATAATAACCTGATACCAAATTAGGCAGAGCCTGTACTACGGTAACCAGACCGCTGATAAACATACTTATATATTACTAAATACATACATATTTTATATAAATTACACACAAACACAGAACAAATGATCGTACACTCAGCACACAATTATTAGCCCTGGGTACCCACCACTGAGGGTTAACAGTCAGGGTTCCCAACCTCTAAACCAACAGGCTCGTCGAGAACACGATGAATTAAACAGCATAAAAATGATAACTGCACGGATGCTGTAGTGGTCTAAGCGGTCAGCGCTGTGTTGTGGGTTCGATCCCCACATGGGATGACACTTTGTGTGATCCACAAATTGTTGTTCTGAGTCTGGGTGTTCTTTGTGTCCGTTTCATGTATGTTTGTAAAGTCTCCCGCGACACAGGATATATATTCCTAATGCAGGAGTTGTCTTTATATATATTTTCCAATTGGTTTTGAATCCAATTCAATTGATATCACATTTTCCATAGAAATACAAAATGTTTAAATAAAATTAATGTTTAAAAAGTATTTTATAATAAAATAATAATAACTGCTCATGGATTGGTAGACCAGCACCTTCAGAGGGGAGGGGCCAGGGACCGATGCAAAAGGCAGTTCTCCTCGAGACAGCATTTGCAGTGAGGAGAGAGTCCTCACCACGGGAGTCCATTTTTTTCATTTTAAACACACACAGTAAATAAAAACAAATTCCATAGTACTGCTTATACTATCGGTACTAGAAGTTCCATCAATTTACAGGGTACGTATGAACAAATACTGTTAATGACCCTGAGCTCAGCACAGGTCTATGATATCAACGTCTAGTCCTCGCTTCAGTGCAAGGGAGCGCACATTCCCTACTTTCACGGAGTCACAACCGTTGGGTTCCATATCCTTCAACATCTGATGAGCGTTAGGATCCACCGCGTCCTGGGGAGGAATAGAAATTCATTTAATACTAGTCTAATGTTCCGTGTGGTGACGGATTAATAATCCGGAGTGTCACCACCCTTATCTATCCTATGGGTGTCGTAAGAGCCGACTGAGGGAGCAAACTACGCAAGGACAGCAGAGAGAAGGAAAACTCGACACAAACCCTATACCATCCCGTCTGGCCAGCGTGGTATAGTAGGCCAAAACCTCCTTTCTAAGGATAAACAGCCTTTCTAGCCAAAAAAAAATTGTGAGGGCGATAGCAGTCATCCTGCCCTATGAGTCATGTCGTCCATATTTTAAAAACCTGGGTGTATTGACTTTGGCTTGCATTTATATTTACGAAATTAGAGTATTTGTCGAACTCGTCCTCAAGTATTCAGCTAAGGATGTATTTCCTTGGAACACAAAACACAAAGAAAGACTGGTTTTAAATTATCAACCAAGAACAATTTTGTATAAAAAAAACTGTTATTCCATGTTTTTTTTTATGTCACAGGGGGCAGACGAGCAGACGGGTCACCTGATGGAGAGTGACCATCGCCGCCCATGAATGTCTGCAACTCAGGACTCACAAATGCGTTACTGGCCGGAGTAGGCACGCATTCCATGTGTGTCCAAGTATTTCACGCATTGCCAGAAAATATTAAAATTATAACTTTACCTAAATTTAAAAAAAACAGTTGAAATCGTGGCTTTTACAAAACTTTTATATGGTTTAATAAGTATTCTATCTGTCAATCTAGTTTTCATAGTACAAGCTTGGCTTAGTTTAAAACTAGATGGCGTTAGGCTTAAATAGTTTGTTTTATTTATTTTTTTATTTTACTTGTATTACTGACGTTTATAATTATTTTATTGATGATTTTAAGTTATAATTTATTTTTCGTTCGTGACTTTATTTGTGATTGTGTGATTTTTATGCAATTTGTAATGATAACTGGAACATTTTTGCGTGTCAGTATGACGTTAGCACTTATGTCTTCCATAACAACTTATGTACAACTTTTAATGGCAAATAAACTATTATATTCTAAGGAGAGGCCTATGTTCAGTAGTGGCCTATTAAAGGCTGTTGATGATGAAGGTTCCTGGAAAAGCTTCCAGAACTCCAAAATGAATTCGTGGGAGTCACGCTTCAGAACAAATGGGCGGGCTCGACCGGCCTCACAGAAAACCGGTGATAACCAACTCTTTCGTTGTTTTCCACCAAGTGCGTGATTTTATCGAAACCCGATATCCTCTTTTTTCGAAATTAAATCTCGTAATACTGTTCTGAAAGTTTTTTTTCAGCAGGTCACTTGATGGTAAGTGACTTCCAACGACCATGGACACCCTTAGAACGAGAGAGAGAGGGAGAGGGTTACTTCTCCGGCCGGTTCACCCAAGGCAAATATATACAGATACATAGAAGCACCTAGGTCAATGCAATAGGGAATCGAACCCGTAATCTCTGACGTATACCTCTAATGCAAGATTGTAGTTTGTCAATAACCTAAACAAGACCCAGCCTGATGCTAAGCGGTTACCAACGTCTATATAAACACTTTTTACATTAGTAGTTTACCCCACATTAAAATCGAACCAATGCCTGTTTTGATGCTACACTGACTCCGAGCCAATTGGGGTCTTTTATCAAAGAGCTAAACGACCCTAATGACGATTCTCGTAATTCGTAAGTCTCAATTCAGTTCCGATCAACTGTGGATCTCACAATTGTCATAGAAGGTATTTTTTAACCGCCTCCAGAAACACAAAAGAGGAGGTTCTCAATTCGTCTCTGTGTTTTCATCATCATCAATCATCAACAGCCTTTAATAGTCCACTGCTGGACATAAGCCTCTCCTTAGAAAGGAGGTTTTGACCTACTATCGTCTGTGTGTTTTATTTCTTAGTAAAATAGTAAAGTATTACCAAGACTAGCAGGTTACCGATTCAATGATCGGTCACAATACGATATAATCACATCACAGTCAACGTTGTATGTTTAATACTTTACTAAGAAAATACATTTTATGACAGTTGTGAGGTTAAGAGGTGATCGGAACTGCCGGAACGAAGCCAACTGGAATACTGTAGTGTAGTTTGGAATCCCTCATACTAAGTTCACACCAATCGAATCGAAAGGGTGCAGAAAAATCTTGCTTTTCGTTTTAATCTAAGGAATTGCAGGTCCTACGAGGATAAGTTATTTTAAAATTATGGATCTGAAATCACGCCGAACCATCTCTGATCTGATGTTTCTGCATAAGTTGCTTAATAATGACATGGATTGTCCGGATCTACTTAGTGAGATAAGTATTAACGTTCCTCTCAGAGTCCCTCGCTACCCCCGTCCAATACTCAATCCACCAAGATGCCGAACAAATTTAGGAAAATACTTGCCAGGATTATAAAATAATAATATTCTACTACATTCACACAACGCCATCTAGTCCCAAACTAAGCAGAGCTTGTACTATGGGTACTAGACAACTGATATAAATACATATATACTTTTTTTTGTAAATACATACATATTATACATAGAAACACCCAGACCAAATCAATCATCAAATGTCCATGCACACAAATGTTTGACTTGAGCGGGAATCGAACCCGCGACCTTTGGAATAGCAGTCCCTTACAAAAACCAGTACAACACTATCTCGTGTTCCTCGGAAGACATAGACGTTTTCTCAAATAAACAGGAGAGATATAAATATCTAATCAACACACAGCTCACTGGTATATAGGTGTTTTACTTCTGAGCACTCAATTTGTAATTTAGTTTTTAAGTGTTTGATTTTTATTTTGAGTTCTTCTCTTGTATAGGTATGCTTCCGACAGATTTTTATGTTGCTATCACTTTTTCTGTTTGCGTATTTGGGAATAAAAAATAAAAGAGTCCGTGTAGTGACGGATTAAGAATACGGAATGTCAATACCCCAATTCATCCCGTGGGTGTCGTAAGAGCCGACCGAGGGCGCAAAACAACGCAGAAGACCAGCACTGCAAAGAGAAGGAAAACTTGACACAAACCCTATACCAACCCGTCTGGCCAGCGTGGTATAGTAGGCCAAAACCTCCTTTCTAAGGAGAGGCCTATGTCCAGCAGTGGACTATTAAAGGCTGATGATGTGATAATGATGATGATTTGCATGATGTGGTCGCCTCTTATTAAGGAAGTACATTAACTCGAACATTGTAAACCTAATATCATTATAGCATGTAAGTTGTATTCCTTGTTGGTGATCCGAAATAAAATAAATAAACTGAATTGTGACTGAGCTTTTTAGCCTTCTGTTACTGTTAGACTCTAAAACCCATCTGACAGACAAAAAAACCGATAACTCACCACAAAAGATATCACATCCATAGGAATTTTATCTTCCCAATTGGTCTTCGTCGCACCGGACTTGCTCAACCTCGGCACCTCGTCCATATCACTGCTGATATCACTGATCATCACCTGCTTTACTATTGAACTGTCAGCCGTTTTGAAGGAACCCCCCTTTTTCATTTTACACAACGCATTATGTAGCATGGAGCCGTCAATTTTCATCTTCTTCCGAGGGTAGACGGGGAAATCGTTTTGACAGCTCTTGTCTATGGCTCGATGGACAAGATTTGAGTTCATTGCGGGTAGTTGGAATTTTTTGCAGATTTGAACGAACACTTCGCGGTTTGTTTTCAAACTTTCTTTAACAATTTGTGTATTTATTTGCAAAGGCATCGAATGTGTGGTTTGTTTTAACGAATCTTGAAATATTAAAAAATCATTTGTAATAACGGCAAATAGAGATGGTATGTTCATTTCGCCGGAGTCGGTTAAAAATACAGGGTGTAGAATGTAATCTTTAGGCATTTTCTTTTGTTCGGCTAATAGTTGTTCTAAAGTGACCAGGCTCGGTGGGTCTAGTGTTATGACGAGGTTATTGTTCAGATTCACGACACTCGTTAGCGTGGTCTGGTTAAGGGGAGGTTCTTTATCGATACTCGTGGAGGTCGGATTGAGGGGGTCGTCTTCGTCGTCTAGGATGACGTAAGTTTCTGGTGGCGGTGGATTCCTGGAAATAAGTTGCGAATTAGTTGAGGTTACTGCCCAAACCCTGGCTCTTCGCTTTGATTGTGGTGAGAGGGGCTGAAAGGACGGCAGCGCCCTTGTGATTTTTGAGCAGCAGGTGTTCATGGGCCAACACGGCTGCTCGGTTACTCACTTATACCATAAATAATAGCATCATTAAAAAATTGTGTTGGGGAACACAGAAAGAAACAACAACTACTCTTTGCTACTGCTGCCCGAAACACGGGTCTCACACCTAGCTCAGGTCGTTTACAAAATAATTTGTAATATTTTGATTTTATCTTTTTATATTCATTCTTGCACATTTCTCAGTGTGGTGACGGATTAAGAATACGCAGTATCACCACCCCTGTTCATCCCGTGGGTGTCGTAAGAGCCGACTAAGGGAGCAAACTACGCAGGACAAAAGCACTGCAGAGAGAAGGAAAACTTTAAACAAACCCTATACCAACCTGTCTGGTCAGCGTGGTATACTAGGCCAAAACCTCCTTTCTAAGGAGAGGCCTATGTCCAGCAGTGGACTAGTAAAAGCTGTTGATGTGATTGCACGCTTTAGAATAGATTTTATACTAGTTTTATGTTAGCTTTAGTAACAATATAAGAATCTAATGACAATTAGATGTAAATCATATAAAAATGTAGCCAAGACCTTATTTTGATTCTGCAAATAGATTTTATTTTATTGAGACTGTTCTAATAAGCCCAAACACGGTACATTTGCTGTAATTTTCTGAGGAGTTGGCTATCCCGCAGACTACTTGATGCAGCAAGCAAAAATACCATCAAAGTAACAGTATACCAAATTTCAGATCAATCGGACCTGTGGATTTTAGTAAGATCCCTTCATCACCTAGGAAGTGAGCTGATGATCTTCAAAATTTGTAGCTAATAACCATACATCACACACATCTCGATCACATCGGCTTTTGAATCAAAAAAATCTGCATCGAAATTGGTCTATTCGCTCGGGTGCTATGATGGCACAAACAGATAGAAAGATACACAAGTTAAACTTATAATAAACTTCGTTTTTCTAAATAAAATTAAAAGAATTCAGTTGCCTGTCTTGGTGTTGAACATAACTTACTGTTTTCCATGCGTCACCTCTTGGTCCGGCAGTATGGAGGGTGTGGTGCACCTTTGGGGGGCGGGGCACTCGGCCTGAGGCCCGGGCTGACGGAGCGTGGTGATTCCCACCACTTGGATAGGCACTGCTTCGTAAATCTATGCAAAATTCAACCCTTAAGTGCCTTTACAACTTTCAACCATTATTTTTTTATGAAATATAATATCTTACCTGATGGTAAATGGCCACCGTCGCCGATAGAATTAAGGGACTAGAATTAATAAGGACAGGAGGGGTTGGGAGATGGTTACCACAACCACTAGGTGAAAAATTAAAAAAAAATATTTATCAGTGTCAGTATTTACTAGTTAAGCCCTTTCATGTAATCTGCCATTTTGTGGCGGCGGCCATCTTGGACCGATTTTCATCAAACATAGTTAAGAACACTCCCGACTAATTCACCTTTCAAACAAAAAAGAACAAAATCAAAATCGGTTCATCCGCTCGGGAGCTACTATACCACAGACAGACACACATACACAAAGACACGTCAAACTTAAAACACCCCATCGTTTTTGTATCGGGGTTTAAAAACAATGAAATGATTATTATTACTCTATTTAAACGTGCTTCGTGGACCGTGTGGTGACGGATTAAGAATACAGAGTGTCACCACCCCTATTCATCCCGTGGGTGTCGTAAGAGCAGACTAAGGGAAAAAACTACGCAGAACAACAGCACTGCAGAGAGAAGGAAAACTTGACACAAACCCTATACCAACCCGTCTGGTCAGCGTGGTATAGTAGGCCAAAACCTCCTTTCTAAGGAGAGGCTAATGTCCAGCAGTGGACTGTTAAAGGCTGTTGATGATGATGAAACGTGCTTCTCATCTTTAAGGAGGATTGAGAGGTGCCTAACATCACGCCACGACTTTTAGCAGTAGAGCAGCACTTGTCTTTTAAGTTACAGGTGTGTTACGGTAATCACTTGCCATCAACTTTTTTTTTTAAAGACATTAGGAATATATCCTGTGTGGCGGGGGACTTTACAAACATACATGAAACGGACACAAAGAACATCCAGACTCAGAACAACAATTTGTGGATCACACAAAGTGTCGTCCCATGTGGGGTTTGAACCCACAACACTCGTCGTAGTAGGAAGCGGCGTGGCGACCACTGGCGACCGTGGCGACCACAAGTGCAGTCAAACGACAGAACTCTCTTACTTGTTTATTGTCCATCACCAATGTCTCAGTCCCTGATAGATGATAATTGTTCCTGATGCGCCCCACCTCCTCAGTGATGACCTTAGGTGTTAAATGATTACTCTAAAAATAAAAATTAACGTTTGAAAAACTATCATGAATTAAGATCCAGTGGTTAGTGATCCAGTGATCAGAAGATTCCAGGTTCGAATGCTGGCAGCGTCGCCATATAATGTCAGGTTTTTTTTTTTTTTTAATAATAATATTCTACCACATTCACATAGCGCCATCTAGTCCCAAACTAAGCAGAGCTTGTACTATGGGTACTAGACAACTGATATAAATACATATATACTTTTTTTTTTAATTAATTATGTATAATATGTATGTAACATATTATACATAATTAATTCAACAGAACTAATAACAAATTGCTTGATTTATAGTTTCAAATTATAGGTAAATAAAGAGACATAGACAGAAAAAAACCGGTCAGGGGCTTCGTATCTACCCAGATTTTACGTAGATTTTTGCGAAAATTTGTTAGTACCAAAATTTATCTTCTTATTTTTTGGAATTATTCCTTTATTTGTGCCGTAAGATGTTTCTTTTTGCCAAATTTCATGATTCCAGGTCAACGGGAACTACCATATAGGTTTTCGACCCAAAACCTATAGGGTACTACCGGTTGACCTAGAATTGTCAATTTTGGTTAAAAGTGAGGTCTTACAGCACAAGTGAAGTGAAAATTCTGAAAAATAAAGAGGTAAATTTTGTCGTGTTGACTCAGCACCTTGATTTTTATACACCTAATAGGAACCATAGACCTCAGTTAGGTATAAATTTCAACTTGCTAGGTCTACCCGTTCCTGAGAAAATCGGTGGTGACACACGGACAGACGGACAGACGGACAAGAAAGTGATCTTATAAGGGTTCCTTTTTTACCTTTTACCTATAAGATCACTTTTTAGGGTTCCGTAGCAAAATTTATTATAATATTCCATATATAATAACATTCTGTAGCATATTATCAAAATCGGTCAAGCCGTTTTGAAGAGTACCCAAAAATATTTAAACTGGTTTTTAGTCATAGGTATCCTGCAAATAACTGTTTGAGCATAAAAACACCTTTTATTTTAACAATACAAACAGACACTACAATTTTATTTATTTGTAAAAATGATATTTTACTCACCAAGTCAACTTTTGTTAATATTTTGTTGAAAAATTTCTTTTCGAGCAGTACTTGGTTTGATTTAATGTTTCTACTGCACAGTTCTGTTAGTACGAGGCTCAGTGAGGACGCGAACATGGCTGCATGCAACAGACTCAGAGCGTTGGTTGCTTGACGTTCACAGATGTAACAAACGAAGAGTACCTTAGGACAGATATGGTAACATTTTAACATGTGTGTGTTATAATATATGTTCTAAATACATTCTGGACGATTACTTACTAAGGGCGCAAAACAATGCAGGACACCAGTACCTCAAAAAGAAGGAAAACTTGATACAAACCCTACACCAACCTGTCTGGCGAGTGTGGTATAGTGTAGGCCAAAACCTCCTTTCTAAGGAGAGGCCTATGTCTAGCAGTGGATTGTTATGCAACAGAATTGAACATAAGTTCAACTAAATTAGAATAGTTTAATAATAACTTAATAGGTGTATGGTTGCATAGCTACTTTTATTTATTTAATTCTTTTTGCACAAACAACGATTCATTGTACAATGGTGGACTTACACCACAGGCATTCCCAGTCCACCTTTGGGTGGTGGGGAAATGTCTGAGTAGGTGCACTAGAAATTATGTTTTATATGTAACGAGATAATAATAATTAAGGATACGGACAGAACCAGTCTGACAGATAGAAATACATACATACTGAGATACATATATATACATATAATACACTATATAAAACTTTAGGGATGTTTATACTTATAGTGTTAAATAACACTTAACATAATTACAACAGCAATGGTTTCAGGCGTCATACATTCACACACAACTTCAAACCCAAATATCTTTATAAAAATTATTTGAAATTGTCTTTTGTGTAGACTCTAAAGTCATTGATCAACACACACAACAGCAACAATCTCTGTTTTGTCAAATATTTAGCAAACTAAGTATATATGTATAGAAAATCTCTTATATGCCTGTGTCGATCTAAAACCGCCCATTCTTCGTACTCGTAACGTCGTCACTAGGGAGGGAGAGGGAACAAGAAGTGCAGAGAAGGCATTCTCTGACCAAGAATTAACACAATTTGACTAAGAATGCTTACATCACTCCTCGCATCAAGTTTCGCGGCAGCTATAAACTTTTGGAAGGATTGGGGCTTTACAAGACGTCGTTCATCACCCGTCCTTAGACACACAAAGCAGTAATCCTTTCTATCGCACACTATTTCAGTGAAAATGTTCAATAGATCTGGCATCTCGCACGATTCTTCCATTTTTGTTGATTTTATACTTTAATTTGACAATAAAAAGAGGTGGAACTGTTTCAATAATTCTTTCTTTTATTTCTATTTTTTTTATATATATATAGTTAGAATATTATCCAATAACTAACGTATTAAGTAAAAGCACAAACATTGTTTTACAAACAACATTATTTGACAGATTGACAAATGACAAGTATTTTTTTCTTTTTTTGTATTTTTATGGCCTGGTAACAAGACCTTTAAGCCAAGTCTTAATTTTTGAAAAAATGACAAGTAAGTACCTTAAGAATATTGCCAACCACTAATCTATTTATCACTTTGATTTTCCTCATCTAAAATTACCTGAACAACGTTTTTCTCCATAAAAAAACCTATGTTTTAGTTCTGATAGAACCGTATTGCAAAAAAAATGGATAACGCTTGGTGAAAATTTTATTACATTTAAAAAATGATACAGTTAAATGATTATTAGCGTAAATGTCAACTACCTACTTGAAGCAAAGAAATTAAAAAAAAAACAGTGACTCTCCAGGAGTGCTGAACTATATATATATCCATAATTACGTGACTTCATGGCTTTGTGAAGCACACGTAACACACTGAAATGTGAAACGAAATCACTTCCGCAGACAGCATGAAAGCGAGAAAAAAGATTTAAAACATCGTCAAGCAGGTGTCCCTAACTAGTGATGTGCCGGAGCGTTAACAAAGTATATCCGCGGATACGGATCCGAATACGGATATTTGGTGCCAAGATCCGCGGATACGGATACGGATACGGATCTTAAGTTTCTTACTCAATCGGAGCCCGTGACCTTTGATAGTTGTCGCCACTTGACGCTTTGCCGTTGATATTTAAATATTTCATTATTTTAATAAGCTAATACAAAGATGTTTGATTGATCTCATTATAAAGATAGCTCTTTCAGTACCTACGACCTGCCTAGTTGATGTGTAGTGTAGTACGATAAATGATAGCAATACAAAGGTGCCAAATATTTGTTTTAAGAAATAAAAAGTAATCTGAACAGAATTCTATAGCTTTTCATAGGTAATAACCATTATTCAGGGTTATTTTAAATTTACTGAAATTTTACTTATGTGCATATTAGTAACATTTTAAACAACAAGTTTTCTTCTGGACTAACACCGAAAACGAAAGAAAAAAAATTGTTTCTCCATACAAACTAACAACATTTGATTGGTCATTTTAATGGAGGACCATTTTTTTACATTTTGACGTTGGCCAGAAAAAAGTTGCTGTTTATAGTGTTACAAACACATACCTAAGAGTTTTACAGTGAATACAAAATCACCTATATAGAATTTCATCTATGTAATGAAAGATCCGCCAAAAAAGTCACGGATACGGATACGGTTACGGATCTCTCTTCTCCCTTGGATATCCGCGGATACGGATACGGATACGGATATCCGGCACATCACTATCCCTAACATTGAAGCATTAAACTGTCTGTTGACTGTCTTGAAGTTCGCATCTTATCGTTACACATTAAATCCCTTAAATCCAAATGAAAAAATGTTACCACAGTCCATTGGCGTTAAAATTAAAGTTAAAATTGTGACGAAATTGGGGAGTAAAGTTAAGGTGCACCGTTCAGGAATGGGTAAAATGATTTTATAGATTTCAGTTTATAAATGTCCTTTTAAATTATAAGAAAAGCATAATGACATCGCCTTATCACCTGTAAATGTAAACAAAAGATAACAAAGCTTCATGGTACTTAGAATGAACTTTTATACAATTTATCAACGTTTGATAGTCTAACTTTTTTTTCACAGACAATAATAATTTATTTAGTGATTTCAATAACAGTATCGGATACGCCGCGAGCACTTGCAGTTTCGTCACTCTGCTGCTCAGTCATACCGCATTCTTCACAGTAACATAAATTCTCCAAAATCATATTGTTTAAAGTACCTAAGTACTTAAAACATTATAAATGACTCGTCTTTCATCACTACTAATTATTATTATTTGATATTAATACACTTTTATTCTTACGAACATTTCGTACGAAAGTCTGTAGTCAACTGGTCAATGAGAACTTGACTTTATAAATTTTTGTAACTTTACCACAATCTATAGGGTATAGGGTTACACTTAAATAATATTAAATTTGTTTTTTTTTAAGTAAAACTTCTTTACGCACCCTTGACTTGGGGAGTGAAGTGGTGAATGCGTGACGAGAGCGTTACGAAAAGCGTGATCCGGCGAGGCGAACGGTAGTTGAGAGCAAGATATAAGTTAGTGAAGATAGAAAGAGACAGAGTTACGTTTCGTATATTACTGTACGGGCAAGAGAGAGAGGTGCGAGCACACATTTTCTTTCTCTCTTTCTCTCTTTCTCTCTTAGTCAATAAGTTTTACTTCAGTCGTGTGGTCTCAAGCATACTCATTTTTTTTATAATATTGATGCAAGGAATAATGAATAATATTGTCAACGTATAAAGAAAATTGAAAACAATTGGTGAGCGGATTTTGTTTTGTGATATCATTTAGCGGTTTTGAATAAAGTTTTATTAAGTGTGATTGAAATCCCTATTTTTATTTACCTGTTAGCCTTCGCCCGGGTCTTGTTTACCGCTCTATTAGAGATTCCATGAAATTTCATACGGCTACACGTGAGGCCCAGCATTTTCGTGCAAATTGGGCCAAGCTTGATGTTATTAACAAAAATATAAAACGTGTAAAATTTAAAGCATATTTATTTTTGCGAAGAATCCAGCCAAGATTAACACTCACTTACAACTGGATTTGCTAAGTGCTATTTTTTACTTAAAATGTTCTCTTCTTAGGTTCTATTCTCCTTCTGTTAGAAATCAGAGGACTAACCGGAATGACAGCTGTTATGAGATTTACTTTTTCAGACTTTGGCTTTTCAACTTCATGATTCGCCACAACATAACGCTTAGGATGAACTTCAGAAGGTGCCACAGTTCGGACAAAATTAACGTTTTCTTTTCTTTTCTCAACCATCTCAACTATTTGATTTTTAGTTGTCTTTTGTGCATCTAATTTACTTTCAGGTTTATCATTTTTAAACGATTTATGTGATTCTTTAGTCACTGCGCGTGCCCCAGAATGATTTTCTCCAAAAGGATGTAAGTTTTCTTCTGCTTGCGTTACACGAAAACGCTTTGGTTTCATATTCGTTTTAAAACTATCTTCATTTTTCCTTTCAACATTACTTTCATATCGCTGAGAGTCAGAGCTATAGATTGTATACCTTTTATCAGTTTTAAATTTTAAGTAACTTTCTTCTTTGCCTTTTTTATATTTATCTGCGCCAAGATCAGTTGACGTGTGTGTCATTTTAACCGCGTTATATTCCTTACTTAAGTTATGATTTGCTTTGTTGAAATAATAGTTTTCGATATCTTTTTGTTTTCTTTGTTCTCTGTTACCAGCGTAATATATACTTTTTATAATTTCTGTAGTATGTTGTGTATTTAGATTATTATTAACATTCTTCATGGAAACGCTAGTTTTGCCTTCATCTATTCTAGGATTACCTGAATCAGAGAGAGTATATTGTTCACTCCTGCCAATTCTGTTGTCTCTATCATTTTTCAGAGTCGAATAATAATCATATTGCCGCTCATTAGCTCCATTAATTTTGTCATTAGTAGCAAAGACGGTCCTTTTTTCTGCATTCTTTGTAACATCTTTAAAATTACTTAGTTTTTCTCCTTTGCCTTTATCAGACACGTTTGGTTTATAGTTTTTAGAATCTGAATCATATATTCTTTCTTCTACTCTTTCATACGTATCTCCGTCTGAGAGATAACCTCTCTGTGGTTTAGTGGAATATTTGGTATTCGTATCTCTTTGAGTTTTAATTGAAGTGAATTCCTTTTTCTTCTCTTTAGAATCAAAGTTATCCTTATTCCTCTGATTATATTCTGTTTTATCAAAATCAAATTTTCTAATAATTGTTTTTTCACCTTTATTAGGATAAATGTTGTCATCTTTCACTAAATTCAATTTTCTAAGTATTTCATTTGCTTCAAGACTAATAAGATTTTTAAAATCTTTGGGATTAATATTTAAATCTATCACAGCATCTTTTTTCTCTTTATTATCTGTTTGGTCATTATTATCCCCTGATAATAAAAATTCGCTATTATTAGTATTCAAATCGTGATCTGTCTTTCCACTAACTCGTATGATATTATTTAAATCTCTGATTATTGCCGAGTCATTTTTTATCCGAGTTTTAGCAATTCTTAGTTCGTTTTCTAAATAGTTGAGACGATTTAAAACTGACGTGTTCTCAAAACTTTTTCGGTAGGGTAATAGAAACCTTTGGTTAGAAGGCTTTCTATCTTCTCGAGATGATCTTACGAATTTTTCTTTAGCATTTCTAGTATTTTGTTTGTGTTCTGTTTCTTTAGATTCTTCTGTGTTAGCCGGTATTTTACCATTCAAATACATCAATTTATTATATTTAAACATTGGAGCATTCATTTCTGGTAGTTCATTCGGCCGACTAATGTGAACTTTGTGCCTGCCGACGTGTGATCCCGGGAGTTTTATTTGAAATTCGGGCTTTTTTAAATGAAGTTTGGGTCTTTTAAGCTCAATGTCATGGCTTTTAAAATGGATTTCATACCTGTAACAACAAGACAAATAAAAATTAATAATAATAATAATATTTAAAAAAAAAAAATATTATTAGTGACCCGTATGCTCGTTTGCCCCTCTATACCTTAAAAAAGAGTTATAAATAAAACTAAACCATAGTGTGATCATCCGAAGTATCTAAAAAAAAACTAAAGGATTCTCTTTGGTGTTGACATCAACGAATGTCATACAAGCTTACCTGAGCTTTTGTGACGTCATAACTCTTTTAGATATGTACGGTCTCATCGTAATGACTTCTATGACAGGTTTGTTGGTAGATTTTGGCGTTTCTGAGTCATACATTGTATTATCTGTATTCGAATATTGTACTTTTAAATTCTTTTGTGTTTTGAATCTCATTGCTTTTTGAGTTTTGTGTTTTGTTGGTTTTTTATTATTATATTTTTGTTTCGTTGTTGTACCTTTTGTATTATAATTATAACTTGCGTCCGGATAATATTTTAAATCCAAATTCTTCTCAACATACATTTGCTTGAAGTAGTTATGTGGTGTGACAGTCGGGCGAATCGTTCTATGTGCCTTCCATTTTGTTTCTGTGACGATACGTTTAATTGTCTTGTATCTCATTGATTGATTGTTCATGTCGGTATTCATTTGCACGACGGCGCGAGACATACCCATGTAATAACTGAAGAAGTCGCCCAGTTTGGATGTGAATTGTGATCTCTCTTGATCACTTAAATCAGTATAATGATCAAATATTATAGATCTAATACCTGACCGAATTATTTTGACAAGATCCATATTCCTTCTGGCATTCTGTCTATAATCCTCGATATTTGTTAAGAATTTATTAAATTTCACCACCGTATCAGCCTTATATAAATCATTAACAGCGTCGATAAATCCTCTTTTGTATATATCTAAGTTTTTGTCTTTCAACGTTTTGTCCACTGTGTTTAAAATCTTTTTAATATCACCAGCAGATTTGTGTTTGTTAATTTCTTGTAACTGATCGAAATATTTTCTCAATTTCATATTTTCTGCCAACTCGTGAAACTTACAACCTCTGTAATGGTAATTTTTTATTTCGTCACTCGTGATCGCAACAAAGTCTTTTAAATCTGAATCATCATACCGATATATTACTGCGATAACTTTTTGACAGAAATCAGAGAACGTCATGTTGTTGGACACTTCTGTTTCACTATTATTTCTCTGTTGTTGGACGGTGTTTTGAAGAAATGCTCTTTTGACTGAATTAATTAAATTCTTGGCATTTTCTAAGGCTCTTACATCGGCAGCATCGTTATGGTTGATCTCAAATATCGTTTCTAGTGTGAAGTTCACATCCCTGCGTCCTGAGCTAGGTTTTAGATATTCGGATATTTCGGGACTTGCTGAAAAATTAAAATTGACAATTACTGGGCTAGTATATGAGAACCCAAAATCATTGAATATCGATTGACACCTAAAATTGAATTTTTTTAAGGATTTGTAACTAGGATAGATCAGGGGTGCTCAAACGATTGATCGCGATTGAGTTGTCGTGCTTTTTGAGTCGATTTAGAGGAAAATATCCAATATAGAACTATTTGTAAATTTGTTTTAGTAGTTAGGTAACTAAAACAAAACGTAATGAATAAACTAAAATGTATTCGATCCACAATTAGGCCAGAATAACCCCCTGCTAGCAGCAAAAGGCGGCTTTATCAAAGGATCGCGCGGTACTTGTCAAAGAGAAGCCGCGTTTTTTATTCCCGCCTATATTTCTAGAAACCTTGGGGCTTCACGTTGCACATGCAGAAATAGGAGTCAGTCTAAGTTGACTTGAAGGCGATACGTCAATACAAAGTTTATTTATAAATAGTACAAAATGAGTGTGGCAAAGAAGAGTAAAACGTATCATTTTTAAAACCATTAGGAGGAAGAAGTAAAGGATAAGTGCATTTTTCAAATTCGCTGTGCGTCATTTGCAATACCTAAGCGTGGGAACTTAGACAGACATCATAAAACGGTTCATAAAATCTGTGAAAAGGATTTTCCGTCACAGAGTTAATTAAGAAAAGAAAAAGTACGTGATTTAATAACTTGTTTTAAAAAAGAATAAACCATGTTTACAAGACCAGCCAAATGAAAAGCTGCAACGATCGCGTCATTTAAAATATCTCATATATTGGCGAGACACAAGAAACCATTTGAAGTCGGATCAGTTGTGAAAGAAGCATTTATTGAAGCGGGTGAAACTTTATTTGGAGATTTAAAAAATAAAACAGTGATTAGGTTTGCTATTAGAGAAGTTCAGTTATCTCGTCTGACTGTCACAAGGCGTGTTGAAATCATAAGTTAGGACATGGCAGATAATTTAAAACATGATATCATGATATATCCATACTTTTCTTTACAGTTCGATGAATCCACCGATATGACAGACACTGCCCAGCTGTGTATTTTTATTCGAATAGGATTCAATGACATGTCGGCTAAGGAAGAGCTTTTTGACAATGATTCCTCTGAGAGGAAAGACGCGTGGTGAAGATATATATGACGTTTTCTTCAATTTTGTAACAAACTATAAGCTACCAATATATAAACTAGTCTGCATCACAACTGAGGAAACACCAAAGCAATGACGGAAAAAAAAACAGTTTTGTAGCATTGTGTCGAGCTAATGACGATTTCCCTTCTTTTTTCTCCTTCCATCGAATTATACATCAACAAGTTTTGTGTTTAAAAGTTCTAAATATGGTGGAGATAATCGGCATTGCAATACAAATTGAGAATTACAACCGTGCATGTAGCTTGCAACGACAACGGCTCTTTAAATTGGAGTTGGAAGATAGTGAGTCAGCTGAACACACTGATTTAGTTCTTCACACAGACGGCAGGTAAATTCCTAGAAACCTTTCAAGAACTATTGCCCGAAGTAACAGCTTTTCTAGACGAAACTGGCGATGAAACGGCAAATGGCTGCTGATTTGGCATTTTTGACAGACATAACAATGCAATAAACGCATTCAAAAGTAAATTGCAACTTATAATAGACCAACTGAAAAGAAAGGATTTGAAATATTTGCCTGTCTTTAAAAGCAAGGATTCCTCAATTAAATTATGATATGTATGAGACAGAATTATCAAATATTTTGGTCACAAACACACATGTTTTTATGATTTCATTAAATAGGCAAATATCGCAGCATTTATGAGTTATCCATGTTCTATCCATCGGTGCAGTCGTCAGATGTCATCATGCTTGCTAGCACTCGGTAATTACGTACCATCTTATGAAGGGTATGGTGAAGACATGCAGTGCCACGCTTCAGCATACAAAGTCACTCTTTACTTAAGTTTAGACACTACAACTCGTTTGTTTTGCCAACCAATTAACTCGAAATTTCATTCACATTTTGGAGCAGACTTGCACTTACCGTGACTAAAACATACATATTGTGCGGTAAACTAATATCTTTATCACGATACACAATACCTAGACGACGATCCTGCATCACACATAGCTGCAGCATCTCAGAGTCGACTATGGTAGTCTAACAATATGGAGGTAGACCGCCAGCAGTTCAAGTTTGAGCACACTTCATTTAGATGGACTAAAGAAAGCATGTTTTTATACCGTAGAAGGGGCGGATTCAGCCAAAGTAATGCAAGGGAGGGGGTTATTTTTGTGTAGGAAGTCGAAACAACTAGATCCAGTCAATAAGGAGACTTGATGACCCCCATGACGGCACAACGGTGAATTCAGAGAGGGCCCTGGAGTCGCCATTGTGCCGGAGATACGTAGGTAGTTCAGAATGTTACAATCACTGACTTATATACAATACTATAGTCAAAGACCTCTTTCAGTGTAAGAGACTTAATGCCGATTCCTATGCCTTAAACAATCCTTAAATAAAAAATACCTGTCGTAGTTACTATTACAACAAATAACCAGGGATTGCTAACCAACATTTTAAATAAACACTGTTTTATTACAACAATAAAATTATAAACATAATTCAAATATCGAACATAATATTTATCGTCAACATTTTATGATTTTTCAATCGCAAACCGAAGTGGCGCGCTTTATTTGTTTTGGCGGTAAAACATGGTTTTATAACCACAGATAATAGTTTTTTTTGAAATTATGTTTGAAATGTTTGTGGTAATGTAATATTCAAATTATGTGGTTAAAGAAAATAATGATTGAGTTAATAATATTAAGCGTTATGCTGATGGCTGATTGCACATCAATTGAAAAGGTAGATTTAAGTAAGTAACATTTATTAATTAACTTACAGATTACAAGTTGCGACCGGACTCTCTGGTGGTGTTATAGGTCGAACATAGCCAAATACCGTGTAGTCTAAAATATTAACAAAAAAAAACATTATAAGTAATATTAGGCTCAAATACATAAAATGTTTGCAGAATAAATCTGAGTTAGAATTTTTGTTCAAAGTTTTAGAACTAGAAAAAAAAAACGACCAACGCAGAGTCCCCGCCAAGTCAAGAATTAAAGAATCATTGCTTCGTTGTGTCAGTATTAGATTTTAATTATTTTAATTAAAACTCATCATTAAACATAAGAGACACATTAAAAATGTTAATTCAACAATATTTCGTGCAGGTTCACACGACAATACCAAAAGAAACAGTCTAAAAGAACAAGAAAATCTACAATCAACTCAACACCACGCAGTTAGAAAGAATTTCGAAGATGCCTTAACACTCCCAACATCAGACCCTCCTAATTTTATAGAGAGTTACAACATGGGCTTTGTGACCACACCTTCTCCAGACAAGTTCTCTATAACTATACCTTCATCATTCACAAGACCGAAAACTTCTTCTCATGAATATTCATTATCCAAATTCAGCTTCGAAATACCCAAACTGCCTACCCATCCACATTACACATTCACTTTGACAACGGAGGAGCCTCCTACCCGAGAGCCTACCACCTTCTGGTCAGTGTTCTTCAGCGCTGGTTTCCAAAACTCTAAAGACTTACAGCTGGGCGATGTTGACGTTAATACAACTCCTGACTATGATCATCCGCCGGCGATACTTGGTTAGTAAGAGATGTCATTATAGACGGTTTCTGGTTTACAGACACGTAATATTTGTTTGATTATCATTATAAGTTCCTACTTTGCTAATTTTATTTGTAATGTAATGTGTAATAATTCAAGGTTTTGAATGGTTTTTGATACAGGTCAATTGGCGTCAAAGCTTAGAGAAGACAGAACACGCTTATGGCGGACTTAGACTGCAGTAGCCCAAAGAACTCGCAATTTCGTCTCCTAAGAATAGAGAGGTCAATGGAGTCAATGGGTCAATTATTCATTGCTTAGTGTAATGTCTAATGAGTCTTTTGGAACCGAATAGAACAGAAATGTTGATAAAATTCAGTGAAAATGTAGGGTACAGTTCCAGAACTGTAACCAGTTGTAAAAGTTTGAGGTTAAATCTAGACTTATTTTGGCTTTTTTGACTTATGCTCCGGTAACCTCACTTACTCGATGAAAAGTAATGCGAAAATTGCTTAACAACGGTTTTCGGTATGGCCTTCTGTGAGCATGACTCGTGAATAGATGGAATACTTCCCTAACTACCTAAAGAACAATTAAAACAATTATAATACTGAAATTTGATGGAATCAGCGAATGTAAATGATGATTATCTATGTAGGTTTAATATGTAAGTTTATAACTATTCTATTAGTCAATCTAGCTTTCATAGTACAAGCTTTGCTCCGTTTGAAACTAGATGGCGTTATGTGTGAGATGTTCGAAAATATTATTATTATATTATTGAAAATGGTAGGGAACAAATATGTAATAAAGCTTTTTAAACCAAAATAAAAGAAGTTTCTTTTTACATTAAACCCAATAAACATTTTTAGGAAAGCGTAATGAAACGTACACATACAAGAGAGACAAACCCCCCTTATTAGGACTACCGGCACCTAAAAAAGGATCATTAATATAGGCTAACAATTAAAAAAACTACTAATTAAGCTATCACGAAATGACAATCATCAAATTACTAAATTTTAGATAGACCGCCAAGTTGTCTATATACTCATGCAGAATCAAAATAACTTAGACGGAATGGTAGATATCACATAGTTCAACTTATCTTCGCTAGATGGCGGTATATAGATTTTATTAGCTATTTACTTTATAATAACAATAAGTATTTGGGCTTATCTTTAGTTATTATATAGTGTTATTATTTACAATTATAAAGGAACGTAGCACATCAACAGCCTTTAATAGTCCACTACTTGATATAGGCCTCTCAAGTGTCAAGTTTTCCTTCTTTTTGCAATGCTGGTGTCCTGCGTTGTTTTTGTTGATTGGTAATCTCAGAGTATACATACTCTTTTGATGTCAACTCTGTTTTGTTTATAATACATAAAGGTTTAAATTACTTTAAATTTGGAATGTCTGTTTTATTTGTTCAGACTGAAATGTCATATTCTTGGTATTCTGTAAAAATAGCTTGTAGCAGTAACATGTGTATTTTTTTTAATTATATCCATTCAAAAATGTTAAGTACAAAATAAATACGTTTAGAAGTCTAAGTGCCTTATTTGGTTTGAAAGTGATCCCATTAGCCACATCCACCGTTCAACAGTTACGCCACGGTACTATTATAATACAGTATTGTAACTCGGCCGCATGATAGAAATAAATGCCTACAGCCGCGCGGTACGTAAACATGCGTTAGGGCTGCCCGTCTCCAGCATTTTATTTATATTTGCCTACTTTCTGTTTCTATTTAGATTTGTGATATTTTGTGAAAAAGGATATTTACAATATCCTTTTTATATAAATAAATGAAATACTTTGTATATTGAATAGGAAGTGAGCCCGCGATAAAAGCTGCAATAGCTTAAAAATCCTTCTATAGAATAAAAAAATGTGCTTTCTCCTTAAGCGTTACAAAATTCCAATCCTTAGAAACTCCAACACCTACCTACTCAACTAGAATGTAAGAAACAGCTGACGAGTAAGTAACTTTTTATCTCAGCTTATTAACGTCTCTATAAATTAGGTACCTACCTACAACTCAAAACGAAAATTCTTTGGTCACCAATTAATTAATTATTAAAAAGCTGAACAGCTGACTACGAATGTTTTAAAATTACAAGCCTCAAACATCTAAATCTATACGAATATTTTAAAGCTGAAGAGTTTGTTTGAACGCGCTAATCTCAGGAACTACTGGTCCGATTTGAAAAATTCTTTCAGTGTTAGATAGCCCATTTATCGAGGAAGGCTATATATCATCACGCTAAGACCAATAGGAGCGGAGCACCAATGAAGAATGTTTCAAAAACGGAGATAATTTATTACTATTGAGAGACGCAGAGGAAGTTGCGCGGGTCAGCTAGTATTATATATGAGTCTAGCTGTTGTTGTTAATACCGAGAAAATGAAACCAGTTTTTAGTGGTATATGTTGTTATAGTAGCAGCAGAAACACTTTGTGAAAATTTCGAAAACTATCTAATGACACACAGACGGTAAAAAATTGTTTCTAGTATTATTCATACACACAGATAATAAACAAATATTATTAAAAATAAAATACCACGTCTTTACTTTGAATTATGCAAAGTAACAAAACACACATGCACCGAAGTTTTAACACAAGCGTAAGTAGGTAGGTACCTACCGTATCATGATTCATTCAGAACCGCATATAACTACCTTTTTCACTCGTCTCAATAACTTTCCGTTACTCTAGTCGCTTTATTAATCCAAACACCTTTTTTTTCGTAAGATAAAAGGAAATATTTATCCATTAAAAAGACACACATTATGTACCTAACTACTAGTAAGTAAAATTATTTACCTTACCTTTCAGAGTTTCCAGATAATTTAAAAAAACTTATGTCTGGATGCGTTATTGACGAATTCATACAACCAAAAACAGCACAATATTTCCTACTCGTCATATTATCTGATTTTTAGAGAAAAAATCGCGCGGTTATTGTTAAAAAAAACAACACACCGTCCGTTCGACACTGCGGTACAGCCGTGATTGTCTGCGCCCCGAGCGCACCCCGAGATCGAGGCGCGTAGGTATAGCTCGCGTTTCGTTCGTTTGTATGAAGTTGGAGTATTGTATTATAATTGTACCGTGGTTACGCGCCCTTAGTCGGCTCTTACGACATCCACGGGATGAATTGGGGTAGTGACATTCCGTGACAGTTTAATCCGTCACCACACGGACAAGGCAGGTAGCGTTAACAAATAACTAACTTTATAAATTTTCATATATATTTTTTTCCTTTTATAAAATAATATTGTCTTAAGAAAATGACGAATTCAGCCAAACAATTCAGTTTTATAGAAGTCACATCACCGTTCGACAGTAAATTATAAGCACACATCTACATAGAAAAACTATTTGATAAGAAATGGTGTTAAGAATAATGTTTTCCAATGTTAAAATATAGTTGGGTCATAAAATGTTAGGAATCAGTTGGATTTTCTTAAGTGCAATATTGCTGGCAGGTTCTTCAGCCACGTCATTACATCGTCTGTATACATAAATTGTTTTTATTTGTTTATTTTAAAACTAAAATGAAAATTTAAAACCGTTAACGGTTGACGGATTAAGAATACGCAATGTCACCACCTCTATTCATCCCGTGGGTGTCGTAAAAGCCGACTAAGGGAACAAACTGCACAGGACAACAGCACTGCAAAAAGAAGGAAAATTTGAAACAAACCCTCTACCAACCCGTCTGGCCAGCGTGGTATAGTAGGCCAAAACTTTTTGCTAGTCTCGCGAGTATGGAAGTTGACTGATAAGAGTAGAGGACGTCCAAAGAGGAGATGGATACACTGCGTTAAATGACTCGATAGAGAGTGAGCAGTGAACTGACGCCTGATTGTAGGAAATGTGAGGAGATGAATGAAAAATAGACGACACATCGACAGTGTGTGTGTGTGTGTGTGCAGTAACATTATATTTTATTAAAATAATATCAGTAAGTTTACTGTCACCAATAATCACTTAAGTCGTCGTTTAAGTGTGTTGTGCCTATTGGAAAGCTATGGTTCTCAGGGAGCTAGCATCAAAAGAAACAGCCATAAAATAAAGTTTATGATGAAAATGATTATGATGGTGATGATTTGGGTATGTTAATAATGACGATGTAATTTAAAACAAAAACCTTTTACATCCAAATATATCTAGTTTTTAAAAACCAACACCCGCACTAGAAATATATCCTGTATCGCGGGGGACTTTACAAACATACATGAAACAAACAGACTTTACAAACAATTTGTGGATCACACAAGTCTTGTCCCATGTGGGTATCGAACCCACGACGTTTAGTGCAGTAATAAGCGGCGAGGTGACCGCTTAAACCACTACTTCAATAGTATTTGATTCTTCCTAAGTATTCAATAATACCAAATCATCAGATCACTAGCAAAATATACTGCACAGTTTCACTAGCAATAATTCTAACTAAGCTGGTAGGTAGCTTTAGCTGTTTTTATTTTAGCAATATTTATTTATTTATTGATTGAGTCTTCCTGCAAACATATTGCATAAGGCGGACTTAATGCCTCAGGCATTTTCTTCCAGTCAAACCTTTGGGTGTTGCAAAGCTGTGTGGCAGGTGTATATTTGGGACAGGTAAAGAAAGAAAGAAAGAAAGAAAGAAAGAAACATTTATTTGCAGAGAATACAGGTGGTACCAGATTTTATAAAGGTGTATAATGTTCAAGCTATATTCTGCCTGTACTAGGCATGCAAATATTTTTATAGAGACTCAAAACATTAACTAATGATAACTATTAACTAATAAAATTAACAAAATGTCAAAAAAATAAAATATAAATATTACATAGAAATTATTAAATTTAGAAATTATTAAATTTATTGAATTATTATATCTAATTTATTAAATCTACAAATGATCATTTACATCAGTTTTGTATTGCATGAACTCTTTCATTGTATAAAAGCACTTATCAACTAGCCATTTTCTTAACTTAATTTTAAAATATTTAAATGGGAGTTCCCTAAGGCTCTTAGGAAGTTTAAAAAGATGAGAAGGTAAAGATGAGACTGAATTAAGCCATGTTACAATGGCAGAAAAGAAAAAAATCCTACAGAAATATAAGTACTAGATATACATACATATAGTTTATACATATAAATATCATAATAAATGACAAAATATATATAATATATATGATAATAAATATACTCTTAAGGTGTTATTCTGATGACTCCGTCAACAAGTCTCTATAGAGCTTCCGTACTTTAAGCTTATCACAATTTCAGAACTAGACGATGAATATAAAAATGCTGAAGCGGCCTTACAATCCGTGTTTGGACTCAACAACACAGACCAAGCTGATACTATTAAATTATTAGATAAAGTTGAGAAAGTAATTGGTAATATAAAATCTGTTTTTGAGGGTAAAAGTATCACACGACCCTCTAATGATGACGAAAAGCTTGAGAAATTTACCGACTTTATCCACAATCTTATAAAAAGATTAAAGACATATGACGACAAAGATGTGGAATACTTTATCACAATATTCAATGATGAAATTCGAAAATACAATTACAAAGGCTGTAAATTTCACGAACTGTTAGAAAATTATAATCTGAGAAGGTTTCTGAGCAATATGCTAAGTAAACTGCAAAATCAGTCAGGTGCTACAATTAAAAATAGTTTAGAAGTGATAGCAAACAAAATAGAAGACGACAAATTTAACAAAAATGAAAAAAATCTCGTTGACTTCATTAATTCTGTGTACAGACAAGACTCTGTTAAAAAATTTCAAAACTTTCTGACCCAAATTGATACTTATAAATTAAACAGTGACACGAAGGATCGAAATCTCGTGAAAATAATCAAAGAAGGCGTAAGATCTATCATATTTGATTATTATTCTCAATTAAATAATAACGCTAGAAATGCATTGAAACATCAAGTTAACGATTTCTGGAACAATTTGTCTCAAAACGAGTCATTTCAGCTGGAAAATTCATTTAAATCTTCCAGGACACAAAACTTTAGATATAAAATTAAAAAGAAAAATAACTTAAATCCCAAAGAAATCTTTGATTCAAAACCAGATTTAAAAAATAATATAATAAAAAGTGAAGTCAAAAAGCAAAGTATTTATCTTTTGAACTCCATCAAAGCACCAAAATCAGATAAAAGATTTAGAAATGACGAACATGTAAACATAAATCAAACAACTCAATCTGATAACGAATTTATTGACATAAAAAAGCAAAAGCAAAATGACAATAGTGGACTTCAAACTATTTCACCATTTATTTTTACCACCAGACTCTTAAAGGCAAGACGACAGGTGTTAACATTTAAGACTTTATATCCAGACCTTGTGCCTGAGTGGACTTCAGTGACACAATTTCCTTCAAGAAGATTTATGTCATATGGATCTCCAGTGCGTCATCACAATGCTGAAAAAAGGAAACTATTCCGTAAGCGCAGTCGAGTGAAAGGTAGACGATTGGTTCAGAAATCAGGTGATCCATCAGAAGTTAGTGTACGTAACTCTCGTATACCAAGAATGAAAAAAAAATCTCTAACGTTTGGGTGAGTAGAAAAAGTTACAATTGACATATGTCTCTGATTAGTTTTGTCAATTTCCCGATCACACTTTATGTATACCAGGCATTTTTGTAGTTAAGTGTGGGTTGGTTTACCCCAGTTCTTCAACAGAATATAAAAATCACCATTACCTCTACAATGGGAGAGCTAAGATTCGGACGCAACGGGCCGGATTAATACTACGGCCTTACAGAAAACGCAATTTTTGAGTAGCTTTTCACCATGTGAGTTAGGTCACCGGAGTCTGAAATAATTTGTCTTCCTATTTGGGAGGGGCAGGGAACGCACTTCTGAGTTTTGACTTGCAGGTATCCGTTTGCGGCGGTGGTCACTTACCATCAGGTGAACCGTCTACTCGTTTGCCTTCTATTCCACAAAAAAATAAGAAATCAGTAAAAACCTTATTTACATCGGTCACTCTTGTTGTTTCCAGACATAAAGTACCCGTAAAGAAAATTGGTTTACGTTCCAGAAAACCGGTGAGACATTTAACGACATATAAAACTAAACGACAAAAGCGAATTCGACCATTGCGCACAAATATGGAGCTGAGAACATCTAAACGTAGAAGGCTCGGCATCCGAGGACATTCATTGTTTACCCAGGTCGAAAACAATTATAGGAGGTCCAATATAATAGACTCTATGGTTTCTCAGGAAGGTCTTTCCATAGATTTGCCAGAAGTACATAAAGACAATTTCAGAAGAAGTGAAACAAATTTCACTCACCCTGACCCTGGCTTACATCATCAAATGACACAGAGTATACCAGCAAACGTCAACAATGAAATACATAACACAACTGTAACAATAAGTGATATAAATAATGCACTCTCTAATGAGAAGGACGATGATGAGAATGATGTAATGTTTAATGAACGTTTAAATAAAGTTCAAAAAACATTCCAGGTTAACTCTATAGTCGAAGATAAAAATTTGACAGAACTAGAGATTATCAAGGCTTTTGAAGTAAACACTCAGCCTAACAATAACTGGGATGCCCATAAAATATTTAATGGAGAAAAATACCAAACTGTAAACAATAATGAACAAACATATCAGTTTAATGTCCAAAATAAACAAGATGAGAGTTCAATTTTCAACTTCAGAGCTAAACATACCGGTAACGAAACCGAAATTGAGTCAAAAAGAAATGATCAGAATAAAAATACATTTATTTCTGAATTAAAATATTCTAAAGCTATCGAACTTGAGAGAAAGGATGACATAAGACAATCTGTATTTGAAAAAAAAGACAATTACGACGAAAACCAGCTCAACAAAGATATTAAAGGAAATAATGTTAAAACAGATAATGATTTTAAATCATTTATAGAAGATTATGGTAATAGCTTAAATGAATTAACACATTACAAAATAAGAAACAACAGAGTGACGGTGAATTCAGAACTTGCAAATAATATTGAAAAAGATGTAGACACAAGTAAGTCGATAATCACAAAACACTTTCTTTAAAATTTCTTACCGAATAATGATAATAATTTTACGAGCTGGGAATATAATAAATAAAAGTTGTCGGTTAATTACTTTATTGCACTGTATTTACAAACACTCAGTATTACAAAAGAAATTAGAGAATTTAACTCGTTAGTCGCAAAAGAAATTCGCTTCGATGTTTATTTGCTGTGTCTTAAAACATTACTGTGTGTTTTAATAGTTCTATCAAAACTAAAGACTAAGACTTAATCTTTCAGACAGAACCACGTACAATAAAGCATCTAGAAATTTCTATATTCTTCCGATATTCGACACTAGATGGCACTGCAAGCAAATAATCGGTCTGATCAAAAAATCGGAATTAAGAATCATAATCTCAATGCGTAGCGTTGTGCCCTACTTGATACTAGATGGCGGTATCCTCTAGAGACAACACAAGAACAACTCAATCCTATGGCGCAGCAATAATTTTATACATCTCACACATGACATGTTTTGATTCCAAACTAGAAAGGGCTTAGCCTTTTGTAACCAAACAATCATTCTTTAAAATTTCTAAAAACATTGAATATGAATTACGTCTAGACACAAGAAATGATCGTGCTCATCACATAGTGATTTATCCTGGACGTGCATTGGACTCACGGCTTATGGTCCAGCATTAGGTTCGCTAACCACCACAACCCCAGTCAACTAGTCCCATTCGAATATGATAATTTCCATTGCTTACATTTGTATGTATTCCACAGGAACCACACCTAAGGCAACTTTATCTTCAACAACAACCACATCTGTAACCGAAAGTCCCACCACATCTGCACCAATGGTTGTTACCACATTACTACCACCTATCGGTCCTTCTACAATCTCATCAGTTAATGAGAAACAAAACCTAGACAAAACATCTATTAATTCTTTTTTTGATGCAAATTTCATCAAACTTTTGATGAAAACAAAGACACAACAAACGACTACTCCAAATTCAGCTGCGGGGAGGTATTTTAATCATGATGGGGTTATTATGGATAGTATGGAGAAGTTAAAAGAAGAAGTAGCTGAAGCTACTAATCTGAATTATGAGGAACAGTAGACTCTTGGTGTTGTAAAAGAGAGAGAGAGAGAGAGAGAGAAAGGGAGAAAGAAAGAAGAGTATTAAGCTAATATTAATGGAAAATAAAGTACAATCGTTTTTTTTTAATTGTTTTTTAAATAGACAACTCCCAATTTGTATTTATATTGTTTATGTTTTTATATATTAAGCTTGCATTACATAAATACTTTTCTTGTGATCACGTAAAGTTATTGAGGGAGCCCTTGGTCAATAAAGGACTTCTTATGACTGAAGTTATAATTATGACGATGGTGATGATGTGATCCCAGGTTTTCTGTGGTTTATTGGTAAGGATACTTAAGGTAAGAAAAGAAATAAGTAAAAAAAAATACTGGCACTCCGTGAGTGATGACAGTAGTGAAAACTAGAAAATTAAAAAAAAAAAGATTAAAACAGGTAAAATTTTTGCTTTTTTCCATTCGAAAAGTTCCGACATGAATTCAATTCTTTAATTCAATTCAATTCTTTATTAATAAAATATAAGCATCACACTGTACACCAAATCGCTTATATCTATGCTAATTTTAACAAAAATAAACTACATACTATTACAATTGTAAAACTCAGACCATCAAAAAGAAACAACATAAAATTTGTAAACAAAAACAACCTTACATCAACTTAGGAACTATAAAATCACTCTTTAAAATTTAGATCTGTATAAACATGTTTTTAAATTATGCTTTGGGACTCGAAAAATATATCTGCATCTGGACTATACTGAAGAAACTCATTGATAAGTCTAATTGCTACACATCAACAGCCTATACTAGTCCACTGCTGGACATAGGACTCTCCTTAGAAAGGAGGTTTTGGCCTACTATACCACGCTGGTCAGACGGGTTGGTATAGGGTTTGTTTCAAGTTTTCCTTCTCTTTGTGTATTGTTGTCCTGCTTAGTTTGCTCCCTTAGTCGGCTCTTACGACACCCACGGGATGAATTGGGGTAATTGCCATAGCAATTTATATCTATATTGTACAAACACAATATATGTTTATATTATATATAGTAATATTATCAATGTATTTCACCAGAAACTCAACTCTCGTTTAAACGGGGCCAATATATATATAGATACTTATGTACAAAGGTTTCGGTAACGGTAACAGTGTCGCGAGTTCAATAGTTTTTCCCATCTCAGAAAATAGATTCTTTTGTTTGTTGTTCAAAAAGTTTTCACTTCAAAAATGTATAAAGATCTTAAAATGTCTTTGAATATCATATTCGAAGTGAAATGATTTTTGTGATTTTTTTGGGCTTTAAAGGAATTGGAAATAATCGACTTCGACTGCGCAGTGTTGTGGGTTCAAGCCTTACATGGGACGACACTTTGTGTGATCCATAAATTGTTGTTCTGAGTCTGGGTGTTCTTTGTGTCCGTTTTATGTATGTTTGTAAAGTCCCCCGCGACACAGGATATATTCCTAATGCGGGAGTTGTCTTTTTAAAAAAAAAAAACAATAGAACGGTGACACTTTGATTTGCCGTAGAAGGGTCACTGTTAATATAGTGTGGGCATATCAAATAGTACCTTAAAAACCCGATGATGCGCACCACTCGCCTTCGTCATGCAATTTAAGGAATTTAATTTTTATCAATCATGTTAATTCTTTAACAATTTAACCTCCTTTCTAAGGAGAGGCCTATGTCCAGCAGTGGACTAGTATAGGCTGTTGATGATGATGATGTTAATTCTTTTAATAAAAATTTCATATCAAATCATCAAGATAAACAACAAAAATATTAACTTGTTATATGCGCTATATAATACCATTTAATAGGATACTATGCAATTTAACCTCCTTTCTAAGGAGAGGCTTATGTCCAGCAGTGGACTGTTAAAGGCTGTTGATGATGATGATACAATATAAAAAATGTCGAATTCATCGTCTTCTTCTTGTACTTTACCAAATTTTATAAATTACTAGCCTCTGCCCGCGACTAAAAATAAAACTCGCGTTTTGAATAAACCGTACGTTAAGGAGCTATTTTTGTTTACGCAGCGCACGCAGCGGAAGCTCTCAAAAGGAAAAAATCCCAATTTTGAAACATTCTTCATTGGTGCTCCGCTTCTATTAATCTTAGCGTGATGATATATAGCCTATAGCCTTCCTCGATAAATGGGCTATCACTGAAAGAATTTCTCAAATCGGACCAGTAGTTCCTGAGATTAGCACGTTCAAACAAAGAAACAAACAAAGAAACTCTTCAGCTTTATAATATTAGTATAGATATAGTCGGCGCAATGTAAAAGGTATTGGTTGGTCCTTTTGTATACGGTAGCCTCCTAACATCAACTTGCATCGGGAATATGACTGCACAGATGGCGTAGTGGCTTAAGCGGTCACCTCGCCGCTTCTTACTGTGCTGAGTATTAGATCAACCCTTTTAAAAAAAAAGTTGAACCGACTTCAAACAACACCGACAAAGAGCACTAAAAATTAAAAAATAATTACAAATCTAAGTAAAAAACTATAATAAGTACCCTCAATGTAACAGGTAACATTATAATACCAATAGTCCCTTCTAGTCTGTTTGAAGTCGGTGCCAAGCCAAATAGGTGCTTGATAGGCATGGTAAAATGTAGCGCGGCAGCTGCAACAGTCTTCATGCTGCGCAAAACATGTTGAACGAGCTAAAGTGGACGCACATCTCCAATTATATTATTATTTTGAATGGTTTAATAAGTAGTTGATAAGTTTGAGCACGTAATTTATCTGGTTGGTCTTTATTAATTAACAAAATCTTCGATGTTTCATTAGAATTATTTTGAATTCTTAGTTTTTCATTGTGCTAATACACAGCTGACATAGACCAGTATTACTTATTGTGCATCGAGCTTGGCACCGACTTCAAACAGATTAGAAGGGACTATTGGTATTATAATGTTACCTGTTACATTGAGGGTACTTATTATAGTTTTTTACTTAGATTTGTAATTATTTTTTAATTTTTAGTGCTCTTTGTCGGTGTTGTTTGAAGTCGGTTCAACTTTTTTTTTAAAAGGGTTTATTTTACCATTTTTAGTGTAGGATATGTTTGTAATGAGTAGATAAGTACGATATTTAAAACTCTACGTACCGTAATGTATAGTAACAAACTGTAGTTTGTTAGATTATATTAAATTACTGCTGGACATAGGCCTCTCCTTAGAAAGTTGACCCACACAAAATTTAAGAGTTTTTTCCAGAACTATTTTAATAAATTAAGTATAAAATTACTTACAAACGAAATGCGATGCCATTCATAGCAACAAAACGTCAATCCGAATTATTTTAACAAGATAGAATACAAAATTTCAACCTTTTCTTCTTAATACAACGAAAATTACAGTGGGGACATAAATACTGCAAGTTCTCTGCGCATCATATCGCGCAGTCTCTGACGGTTGCCATGGTTTGTTTGGCTAAAGAAATACTCGTAACTAAAACACGTTGTCGGGGCTGTCAAATTCCCAATAATTGTGAGGGTTTCCCTCGATTTCTCTAGGATTCCATCATCAGATCCTGAATTGGTGGTAATGGGACCAATTCGGGACCATACCCTTTCGATTACAAAAAGAATTTTGAAAATCGGTCCACAATTGACGGAGAAATCGCGGAACAAACATACATAAAAAATATAAAAATACAGACGAATTGAGAACCTCCTCTTTTGCGTTTTGGAAGTCGGTTAAAAAGAAAACATACTGTCGAATCAAAAACCCTCCTTTTTTGATGTTGGTTAAAAATCGACTAGCATGAAGCTCCTAGTCGAGACGAATCAAATGAGCACAAACACGGCGGAATTGCTTTATTTTATTACAGAGTTCCCATGGCTATTTACCGTCTCCATCATCAGACCCTGAATATCACATAGGATCGGAGTCCTTATTAATTAGACTCAAACACATTCAAATTCAATGGTATTACATAATTTTGTTACAGAGATGCCATACTCCTAAACCATTCATCATCAGCTTCATCATCAGCTCAGCAACATCAGATGGTGACCATTAGATGCAAAAATCTACATAGATTAAGATAATTTCTGATAAACAGTGTATATGCCTACAAAATTTGAGGGTTTCCCTCCTTCCCCAGGATCCCATCATCAGATCCTGACCTGGTGACAATGGGACCACCTCTGACGTATGACCTACCAAATAAAAAAAGAATTATTCAAATCGGTTTATAATTGCCGGAGTAATCGCGTAACAAATATACAAAAAAAAAAAAAAAAAAATACAGTCGAATTGAGAACCTCCTCCTTTTTTTGAAGTCGGTTAAAAATTAGAAAGTATTCGTATGGGCTTGATCCCCACATAGGACAATACTTAATGTGATCCACAGATTGTTGTTTGGAGTATGGGTGTTCTTTGTGTCCATTCGATGGCTGTTTGTGAAGTCCCCCGCTACACAGGATATGTGCCTAGTGCGGGAGTTGTTTTTTATATAAACGAGAAAAAGAAGTAAGAAAGAAAAAAAAGGATGTGATCATTTTCAGTTTAGAATGTGATCAAAGAATCTAGGTGGGTTCCGTGTGGTGACGAATTAAGAATACGGAGTGTTGCCATCCCTATTCATCCCGTGGGTGTGATAAGAGCCGACTAAGGAAGCAAACTACGCAGGACAACAGCACTGCAAAGAAAAAGAATACTTGACACAATCCCTATACCAACCCATCTGGCCAGCCTGGTATAGTAGGCTAAACCCTTTCTAAGGAAAGGCCTATGTCCAATAGTGGACTATTAAAGGCTGTTGATGAAAGAAGCTAGGGCAGGAATACGGTTGAATGGGAAACGAAACTAAGAAAGAGAAAGGAAAACTGAAGGAGAAAGAGAGGCCACAAGGTAAACCAACAAGTTTTTGACATTCGCTGCTTAAGGATAAAGAACAACAACAAACAAAAACAAAACTACGTGAAAATGTAAGGTATTTAAAATTTAAACCGGCAACAATTAAGATGAAACTAACGACACCTCCAATACCAATAATTGTCCATTATTAAGATGTCCAGACTACAGAGCCTGCCAAAGAAATATATACATGCACTAGAAAAACATAACTTTCCTTCTGGCGCAGTTGGGTAAAAAGTTGTGCGTCCAGATTTATTGCAAAATTATTTGATATGCATTTTATTGCAAAAGCAATAAACAGCTTCTTTAAAATGTTAGTATACACTTGGATTTTTATTTCCATAACATGTGCTAGTACAGGTAAGTGTACGTTATTTATTTAAAACTCCATTGTCTTTAAGAAGAAGGAGGGGGGAGGGAGGACATTGAAATCAATTGGTTTGGGTCCTCCCTAGATTAGGGCATCTGAGGCTAGCCGTCATGTCTATTTTATTGGAAACACCTGGCTATTTAATCATTATAATAGCAGAGCCAGGGATCTGAAGGGATTTCCCACCCCGTCATAACAAAATGGGCAGTCAAGTTTTTTTGTATGTTAGAGGGGGCAGACGAGCAGACGGGTCACCTGATGGAAAGTGACTATCGCCGCCCATGAACGTCTGCAACTCGAAGTAAATATTATTTTGATGGGTATATTTCTTTAAATGTATTCGTTTTAATAATTCTTATATATTACACAGCCGCAGAAAAACCTATGACATTAAAAGCAAGAAACAAATCAAACAGATTAACATTCCAGACACTATACCCACAGTTTATGTCAACCTGGTCTAGTCTTAAGTTAAATGAGAAACAAAGACAGTCTACCCAAGTCACAGTGAAGAAAGAAGAACATAGACACTATTTAAGCACAAGGAAAGTTTCGAGGCTCAATAAACCAACGACCATCCAGATAAATTTAATGCACAACGCCTTCATAGAAGTGGAAACGATGAGACCCTACGTACCGATAAGAAACAGGACGTCTAAAAGGTATGTATTTCGTTTTGATCGTATTGAAAACCAATAAAACCATGGTAAGAATCATCATCATCATATTTTTTTACGGCATAGGGATATAGGCACATACTACAAACGAGCATATAGATAAGGAGATTAAGTAGACTGCTGCCGCCCACAGGCACCTACAACTCAAATGAAATAATTTGCCAAGGCTTGCTACGATTTGACGTCTCCTGTCGGCAACAGAGGAGGCAGAGTTTTTTATGTCAGTGATCTCTCTCAGTCGGTAAAAAGCAATGAAAAATTATCTTAACACCAATTTATCGGTAACCTATTTTACTGAATTCTGACTCTAGTCGACTCATGTGCCGAAGCATGGCTCTCCCATCAATGATTTCATTATCTCTTACACTCTTACATAGACACAAGTTACAAATACAATCCCAGACATTGATACTATTTCAGAATATCCCATAGTCGTTTAAACGAATTAAGACATAAAATAACAAGATCTAGGCTATCTACAATGAAGCAGTTCGTTCCAAACAAGCAAATTAGAACTTTATTAGCGCCTGTATCAACAGCACATAAGTTGGTATCACACCTGAACATAAAACAATCGCCATCTCCTGACTTGCTTAAAGACCAGATTAAACGTAAGAGGATCTTAACAGTGCTTCCCACCAGTTATCCGTTACAGAAACTGAATTCAGTTCAACCCAAAAGATCTCAAAGAAGAAACAATAATAGTACTCTTTTAACCAATGGGAAGCAAGTATTAACTAGACTTGAACAGTTAGAAAGTGATTTAAAAAAAATTAAAAGAGTAGTGAAGAACGACACTGAAGTAATTAATCATTTTAAAAGCGAAGTTCTAGAAAAAGAGAAGAAACTACCTGATTCAATTATTAGGAAGAAAAACTCTTCTTCAACAGTGATACCATCAGTTGAAAACGCTCAGAGTGAAAAGAAAGGCATAAAAAGCGTTGATAATATAAAAGCTAGAATTAATCCTGATGATGATCTAAGTGAAGTTAGAAGAAATAAAAATAAAGATGCTAAAGTCAATAAAAATATGGATAAAATAACGAAAAATGATAAAATTGAAAAGAAGCAAGATTTAAATAAAGGTATGGTAACCGTCGAAACATATTTAAATAATAATATTGACCTACATCTTTCAATTAATTATGTCGATGATTCACTTATATTAATCTACTACATCTTTATGTAGACCACATTTATTTATGAAATAGGTAGCAAACGAGCAGATGGGTTACGTGATGGTGAGTGACTACCGCCACCCATAGACATCTCTCAAATGCGTGGCACGTCTTTGAGTACCTCGTGCTGGGTGTCCAGTACTGCAACAGAAATACTTTTCTCTGTGAGGTCTTGGTATTACTGTCGGCGAGCAGGCGAGTACTAGGCGATATCGATGTTCTGTAGAAAGACTCCACTGCCACAGGTATTCGTATGGCAAACGGAACCGACGGTTTAACGCGCTCTGCGAGGCACGGAAGGTATCAACGTGTTAAGAATGGTCATCCATTCATAGATTGACCTGGTTATGATTGGTAAACTATGTAATGTGTTCAGTGTTCACCTCCTCGGTTACCACTTAGACACAAGCCCCTCAACAAATTTAAATATGATTCAAATACAATAAATATTTTTGAAGTGAAAACTTCTTTAGCGGCGTTGTACACTTTTTTGTAATGGGTAAAAATGTTGATCGAAAATTCGTAAAACGGCGCTTGCGCGAATGTTCGTGTGTGTTTATGTTACAGCGTGCCACGCGCATCCATGAATAGTGACAGCGTCTCGATAAATAGTCATGTTTGTGTACGATAGCGCAATAAATAAATATTGTATTCTACCACATAAATGATAGTACTTTTATACTGATAATTAAAGCAATTCGTGCAAAATTATTCCCTAACCATTCCAAAATATCAAAAAAAATTATAAGTTTTTTTAAAATTAATTTTAAAAATTAATATTCAAGTTTTCACTTCTGCCGGCACTCCCGGAGTGCAACCCGTCGTTTTTTAAAGCGATTTTCCTTATCCCATACAGACAAGTGTCAGTTAGTACTATATTTACCCCAAGAACAGTAGACATATCTGTAGACCTACTTTATAATATATGATAGCTTCAAATTTTCTCATTTTAAAATGACATTACAGTGAACCAGCTCAGAATGGAGTGGCTCAAACAAAAACTTTCAGGTAAACATTATTACGAGTATGAGCAGTTTATTTCTTGATTTATTTTATGGTGTATAGGAGCGAACTAACAGACGGGTCACTTGATGGTAAGTAATCACCGCCGCCCATGACCACCTGCAAGAGAAGAGTTACAAGTCCATTGCCGCCCTTCGAGTCCCACGCCTCAGAATTAGTGTTTGGGCTCCATTAATCTCATACACCCACGATTTATTCTATCATTTTTTCATCAACAGCCTTTAATAGTCCACTGCTGGACATGGGCCTGTCCTTAGAAAGGAACTGGTTGGTATAGGGTTTGTGACAAGTCTCCCTTCTCTTTGCAGTGCTGTTATCCTGCGTAGTTTGCTCCCTTAGTCGGCTCTTACGACACCCACGGGATGAATAGGGGTAGTGAAACTGTGTATTCTTAATCCGTCACCACACGGATATCATTGTTTAACAATCTGATATTACACTTTGAATTTACTATTTAAATGTTGAAATTACATGAATAATAAGTAAATAACTATACTATTTATACACTCGCGCCTATATTTCCATGGGGTGGGCAGAGGATTATTAAACGCCAAACACATTCTGCCAATTGCTTTAGATATTTGCTGATGAAATTGGAACACTAGAAGAAAAGATTGATGAGAAGAGAAGGCAAGGGTAGCAAAACTATATTGCTTATATGGTAGGATTGGGGTCTGTAAGCAACCTCATTAGTTAATTCGGGAAAATTTGAACCCGCCAATCTATATCTAAGTATAGATAGATAGATAGATAGATAACTCTTTATTTGCACACTAAATTACAGAGTTTCAAGAAAGGAACACAACGATCAAATATCGAGTGTACAAAGGGCGGCCTTATTGCTAAATGCAATTTCTTCCAGGCAACCTTAACCTAAGTATATTTAATTGCTAAAATAAAAATGTGTATACAGGTGGACCAAATCAAGCTGTAAATTATAGACGAAAATACAAGGATTTCGGTAATATTAACAACAAAGATGAGGAAAAAGATTACAATTTTTCTGTAGATGAATTCAGCTGGATTCATAATAAGAAATCTAATATTATGATGAATAAACGCTTAATAGAAGACAAGAAAGGCTTTGGTAATATCAAGAGAAAAGATATCAGAAATATTGATCACATCACCAAAGACCCTTTAGCTTACGATAGTTTAGATGTGCGATTAGAGCATGACAGTAATATTCAAGAATTCATTAAATTGAAAAACGAAAATGCGATACCAACTTATAAACCTTATGTAAAGGAAAAATCTAATATAGAGTCTAGAAGGGCTAACAAAGAAGCAGAAACTAATTTTCCTTTGTATGATGATACCAGCAGACGCGATAGTCTTCTGTTTGCGCCACCACCAGGATTTAAGGAAACTAATTTAGAGTCAACTAAAAATAACAACAATGATCAAGAAGCATATGATGACGTTTTGAAAAAGATTATAAACGCACCTTCTGTTGATGTTACACCGAAAAAAGATAGAAATACTTTTGAGATAGATGACACAGAAGCTTTAGGTAGAAAAATGTTGGAGCGTTTAGACTTACCTGGACTAAAGATAGGTATTGAAGACACAATTCCAAACAATGACTTCTACAAATTTGATCACGTTAAATATGTCGATAGTGTTATGGGAAGAACGGTACTTCCTTTGTATGAGAGACGCAATATTGTAAAGAAATCGTTAGACAAGCGATTAAATGAATTGTATAAAAAGCATAATTTAAAGCCGAAATCATTTACTAAAGACGATTTGGACGATGTACTAAAATCTATGGGAGCCACTATACATAAGTAATCTTATTTACAATCATGGTTTGTTATTAAAGAATGTATAAAGAACTTTTTTCGTTTTTGTTATAAAGTAGGGGGTAAACCAGCAGATAGATCACGCATTGTGGTGCGTTGAGTCCCCCCTTCCAGTAAATATAGGAAGGAGGGTTTTCTGACGCCGGTAACCTCACTCACTACGAAATACTTAAGGCCATGGTATCGTTCCGGCCGAGCAGGTCTATATGTGTCGGAGCATGACTGTCCTTCGATAATTTTTTTATCTTTCTTCACTTTTTCTTCACAATCATGATTTTTATTAAGCATACAACATTCATCGCTTGCAAAGTCATGATCTGCGACTTTAGCTTCACTTGTTATGTAAAAAAAATTTGGAAGTTTATTTAACCTACTTCTATCCTATACGACACCCCAATATACTAGGCATGCCTTTTAAGTTCTGTCGTTTCCATATTGCCCGGCAATTGTAAATTTGGAACTTTTCTATATTCGAATGTGTTTAAATTTTGAATCTCAAAACAGTTAAAAGTATTAAGATTAATGATATTGTTTAGTCACAGCGTCGATTGGAATCTGTCAGGTTACGTACGAAAATGAATCTTTCTAAGGAAAATGTTCGTGCAATAATTTTCTGCAACTTTAGAAGAGGCCTGACACGGCTTCAGTGTTTTGAAGAGCTAACATCTGTGTTCAGTGATGAAACCCCATGTCTGCGGACTGTCGAACGCTGGTATTTAGAATTCTAGCGTGGACATACCAGTGTTAGTGACAAATCTCGCGAAGGATGCCCAAAATCCGCCTTCACTGAAGATAACATCATTGCTGTGAGACAACTTATTCTCGAAGGTCGTCATGTGACGTATTGAGAGATAGAAGCTCTATTAGGCATCTCAGGGATAACCATTCAGAAGATCTTGCATGAAGCGTTTGGTGTGAGAAAGCTATTTTGCCGTTGGATACCGCATCTGCTTTCCGACGATCACAAAGTGGCCCGCGTCACATGGTGTAAGATAACTCTGCAAAGGTTCAACCGAGGAGAGTCAAATCACGTCTATGACATCATCAGTGGTGACGAATCTTGGATCTATGCCTACGATCCTGATTCGTGACCCATCATCCTGCACCACGACAACGCAAGCTCACACAGCGCTCGTCAAACGATTGAGTATTTGAAGTAGGAAAAAGTAGAAATTCTTGACCATCCTCCATACAGTCCTGACCTAAGCCCTGACGATTTCTTTACATTTCCTAAAATTAAGAAAAGTCTTCGTGGTCAAAGGTTCCAGTCCGGTGAAGAAGCAGTCGACGCTTTCAAGTCAGCCATTTTGAACCCTCCCACTTTAGAGTGGAATAAATGTTATAATAACTGGTTTGAGCGAATGGTATTAAGCTACGTGGTGAATACTTTGAAAACCAATAAAAAGTACTTTAAGGTTCTAGTTGTGTTTTTTTCTTCAAACGACAAAACTTAAAAGGCATGCCGCGTATAACTTACCATGTGCTAGTACGCGTAGTTTGAATGACAATGCCACATGATTGCCGATCGTCAATAGCCTCTCAAAATTTTCCGATCGGCTCGATCCCTTGGCGATCATGGAGAGTGCTCCTAGGAATTGTTCGGACTAATACCAGCCGCAACTTTCCGCCATCGTTCCACATGGCAACATTTTCATCCTCATCACCTAGATAGTTGGCGCTCCACTACTTCCTAAAAGGCCGGCAACGCGTTACGCAACGTTACTCCTGAGTTGCAAGCGTTCATGAGCGACGATGGTCACTTTCCATCAGGTTACACGTCTGCTCGTTGGTGGCAGACGAGCTTTCTCACACCAAACGCTTCATGCAAGATCTTCTGAATGGTTAACATAAAAAAAATGTAGCCCTTCTTGGTGTTTTTTTTTTATCTGACAATGAAAGAAGGTAAATTGGGTAAAGAATAAATTATGGTTTAAAAAACGCGCTTTAGTACTAGCCGTACCCCATGCATTTTCACGATAAAATGATTTTTCTTTTTCAACTTATAGATAATTATTTTCTACTTTTTAGTGGGACTATTTATTCGACTGCACGGATGGCGTAGTGGTTTAAGCAGTCGCTACACCGCTTATTGCTACGCTGAGTGTTGTGGGTCCGATCCCCACATGGGACGACACTTTGTGTGATCGACAAATTGTTGTTCTGAGTCTGTGTGTTCTCTGTGTCCGTTTCATGTATGTTTGTAAAGTCCCCCGCGACACAGGAAATATTCCTAATGCGGGACTTCTCTTTTTAAAACAATAAAAAAACAAGATAAAGTTTATTTTCTACTTTTTAAACCTAAATTTGTTTTGCTTTTTTAGTCATTAATGAGGATTAATTTCTCATTAAGACTAAAAAAAGAAACAAGTAATTCACATATGCTTCAGCACACGCCTTAGTACGTGGCAAAAGGCACTACCGTACCGACACTAGGTATGGAGAAAACCATTAATTATTAATGGACGGGGAGGCTATTACACTGGTTCATCGATTGACAAACATGTCACAATAAGTACAAATATACGTTAATATACGTTAAGTGATTTTTGTACCCCTTTTTAAGTAAATTTCACGGATGTAACCTTTGGAATACTTTGAAGTTCATCATCATCATCATCATGATCACATCAATAGCCTTTAGTAGTCTACTGCTGGAGATAGGCCTTTCCTTAGAATGGAGGTTTTGGCCTACTATACCACGCTAGCCAGAAGGTTAGGTATGGTATGGTATGGTTTCAAGTTAATGAACATAAATAAAAAGGGCGCATGAAACTAATAATTTAACAAATATAGTATACTAGCTTCTGCCCGCGGCTCCAATCGGTTTAGCGGTTTTTGATTTCCCATACTTCCACCCCCTTAAAGGATGATTTTTGGAATAAAAACTATGCTATGTCCTTTCCCGGGACTATGTCTATACCAAATTTCATCTAAATCAGTTCAGCTGTTTAGGCGTGAAGAGGTAACGGAGGTACGTAGATTTTCACGAAAATTATTAAGTACCAAAATGTATCTTAATTTTCTATTTTTTGGAATTATTCCTTTATTTGTGCTGTAAGACGTTTCTTTTTGCCAAATTTCGCGATTCTAGGAATTACCATATAGGTTTTCGACCCAAAACCGGGTCGAAAACCTATATGGTAGTTCCGGTATAGGGTACTTCCGGTTGACCCAGAATTGTCAATTTTGGTTAAAAGCAAGGTCTTACAGCACAAGTAAAGAGAAAATTCTTAAAAATAAAAAAAGTTCAAAATTTTGGTACTTACAAGTTTTCGCAAAAATCGAAATTCGGCCATATCTTTTTATCGTTTTGACTCAGGACCTTGATTTTTATACCCCTAATAGAGACCATAGACCTCAGTATCTGGTATAAATTTAATGTATATTCGATCTACAAACAATATAATAATATCTAAAATAGTTTATGCCATATTGAGTTTTTCTTAGACAACGTCACTCGAGATGGTGTAAAGAGTGTGACAATACCCCATACATTCAAATCTAATCAGGTAGTGTAATTGTTTGTCTTCATCAACAGCCTTTAATAGCCCAATGCTGGACATAGGCCTCTCCTTAGAAAGGAGGTTTTGGCCTACTATACCACGCTGGCCAGACGGGTTGGTATAGGGCTTGTGTCAAGTTTTCCTTCTCTCTGCAGTGCTGTTGTCTTGCGTAGTTTGCTTCCTTAGTCGGCTCTTACGACACCCCCGGGATGAATTGGGGTAGTGACATTCCGTATTCTTAATCCGTCACTACACGGACAGTTTTTCTTAGTCAAGTTAAGTCTTTTTCTAGATGTTTACGAAACAGTAAAATAAGTTTATTTATCATATAGTACTTCTTTTAAATGTTTTAAAATCTCTATATCATCATCAGTTTCTATTGAAACATTCAGTGACTTATTGTTCTCTAAACTTTCTTCTGCAGTTACATTCAATAAACGATTTAATAAATTAACATCTAAAATTTCTTTTTCATCACTGCAAGTTGAAGATGAGTTTGAATTATCACTATCCGTCGTGTATTCTGATTGTATTTCTGTAGTATTAGTATCTGTCTTCTCTTTTTCTGCTAATTTTATGTTTGAGTAACTTGACTTTAATTGTTTAGGATATTCTTCAAGGTTACCCTGTTGTGTCGTATCACTTTGTCTTCCAAAATTAGTAGATCGTCTATGAAAACTTATATATTTCCCATGATATGATTCTGTATGACTTGTAATCCGTTTAATAAAGAGTTCTGGTGTTTCATCATGTATTTGATCTGTTTTCTTGCTCGTAATCACTCCATTGCCTCTTCTTTTATTCTGCTTTTTCTGTAGACCTTCACCTGCAGCTTCTGCATAATCCATGGTTCGTTGGATCACTAAATTTTTTCTTGATATCATTGGTTTGGTAGTTAATTTCTTGGCACTGTGATGGATTTTTTTACTAAATCTCTTTTCGGTAGTTCGAAATTTGTAAATTTCTAACGGCTTATTTCGATTGGATTGTTGTTTTAAGAAATTACCGTTCCTAAGTTTTCCAATAGGCCGCGCTCTATTATATATTGATTGTGAGTGTGTCCTAGTCCATTTGTTATGTCTGTGAACTGATCTTTGATGTGTACCTCTTCTGTGTGTCACGGACATGCGTGAACCTCTTGATCTGAGTGATGTTTGACTAAATTTAGGTCCTCTTTTCGATTTTGGTTTGTCATAACTTGTGAACCAAGAATCTGAAAATTAAAAAAAAAATAGTTTTATAAAAATTATGAATGGTATCTTTTCATTCCCATCTGACGTGACATAGATGTGTGCTCAATATAAAAATCACGGATCACTTTCAAATTATTTGATTTTGCATATACGAGAGTAGCAATACCCCACAATACACAATGGAGTTGTCGACTGTCTTAATAAAAGCTGTTCCCAGATTCCTCCCATTTCAGACGCAGAGTGGCACAACGTGTGGTTTTAGTCGGTTCGATTCCAATGTATCGCCCCACTGGCAACTTTCGGTTGGGCGACGGCCCGAAGGGGGTTGACTCGTGAAATAAAGATATCATTATTTTAAATGTGGTGTTAATACTTACTCAGTTTAGACCAAAACCCAGCTCTTCTGCGATTTTGGAATATTTCACCGAAATGGTCTTTTAAAGCTGCATTTGCTGAATTCACCAGACGTTGACGATCTACAGTTTTGTAGGAGAAGGGATAATTGAAGGCTTGTATTAAAGCTTTACAGAGATCTCTTCCTGTCTCGTAGTGAGGCCTCAGAAGTTCTGTTGACACTGGAAAGTTGACTTCTTCTTAAAATAGAGATAAGTGATGGTGAGAGTTACGTTTTTCTTTAATTATCATATATTTAAATATCAGTATATCCTGATTTATCCATGTGCTGACGGAAGAATATGGAATATCATCACATTTATTCATTCCGTGAATATCGTAAGAGCCGACTAAGGGAGCAAACTATGCAGGACAACCGCACTGCTAAGCTCTATTGTACTGCAGCTCTCTATTGTATTAAAAAAAATATTATTTACTTAGTTGTAAATGTGCGTGGATAACAAATACCAGTCTGAAATGTATTTTCGATATTTTGAGTACATCCTTTAGAAAGAAAACCTGAAGCAAACCGTATAGCAACTCGTCTGGCCAGCGTGGAGTAGTAGGCCAAAGCCTCCTTTCTAGGGGCTAAGCGTGCCCCCGTTTTAGGGCCAGAAAGGGGGCACAAAAAGGGGCATTTGTAAGATGCAGATGGTCGGGAGCCGTCGGGGTACCAGTGATTTATTCTCTAGGTTACACCTGACTTCTCGGCTACTGGTATCCGAGACGGTGCAGTTTTAGACAGTACGAGTCTAATAACCACCCTAACGGCCGTCCGGTGGGGAGTATCCGAGGGGATCCTGGAATTGGAAAGGCCTCTAGCACTGGCCGTAAAAAGTAAAAAGTACCGTTAGGGAAATGAAGGAAGTCGTCGAGGCGATCAAATATTCTCTCTCCATCTTCTTCCTTCACCATTCCATCAGCGAAATCCAAGATTCCGTTCACTTCCTCACCTAGCATGGCGCGTCTGTTTTTCAGCAGCGTCCACAGAAGATTCGCTTTAACTGGAACAATTCGCTTCATTAACTGACTAGGTCTAGAAGCATGAAATTTTGCACAAATGTTCCTTAGGTGACGTAGGTGTGCACTAAGAAATATATTTAAAAAAAAAGGTGTCTCCCGCTTTAGGAATATATCCTGTGTCGCGAGGGGCTTTACAAACATACATGAAACGGACACAAAGAACACCCAGACTCAGAACAACAATTTGTGGATCACACAAAGTGTTGTCCCATGTGGGGATCGGACCCACAACACTCAGCGTAGTAGTAAGCAGCGAGGTGACTGCTTAAACCAATACGCCATTCATTCTTTAACTTCGTTATTTTCAGTAGTAGCGTTTTCAAACTTACAGTAAATACTCTTTATTAAAAGTAATAAAAATACATTCTTACTAATTTTTCAAAACTACCCTCAAAAGGGTAGGTTATTTTGGATTGGGAACTATTTAAATTTTAACTTATCGATTCCAAGGTAATATAAAATAAATATGTTCTCTATCAAAAATTATAATAATTTTACACCTATGTTTAACTTTTTAAAACGTAAGTATGTTTATTACTCAATCACGCCAAAACGGCTATCTGGATCTGGACGTGATTTGGCACGTAGATAGATTATAGTCTTGAATAGCAAAGAGGTTACTACTTATCCCGGCCAAATTTATTGACAAAATTGACATTTACGCCAGCGAATCCGGGCAAAAGCCGGTATTGTCTATACAAATAAAAAAATCGAAGTGTCTGTTTGTAATGTCAAAATAGTAGGATTTTTTCATGCTCACACGGTTATTTGCACGATACTTATGCCTATAAACCAGTTAAATTATTTTTTGTCTGACTGTCTTTCTCCCTGTTTGTTTCGGGTAATCTTCAAAACGGCTGCACCGATTTTGATAATATTTTACTACCAGGTAGCTGTCTATATAAGGAGTAAGTTAAGCTATTTTTTTTTCTCAGAAAAGCTTATGCAAAATTTTGGCCATTCCGGGAATCGAATCGAATTATAAGCCGATTATAAATAATCTAATTATAAATTAAAGCTAATTATAAATAATCTTCACATCACATCACATCGACAGCCTTTAATAGTCCACACAGTTCTGGACATAAACCTCTCGACGGGTTGGTATAGGGCTTGTTACAAGTTTACCTTCTCTTTGCAGTGCTGTTGTCCTGCGTAGTTTGCTCCTTTAGTCGGCTCTTACGACACCCAAGTTATGAACAGGGGTGGTGACACTCAGTTTTCTTAATCGTAAATCCTAATAATAAATTGGTGCTGGCTGGATTAATTGTTTTTATTAAAGGGGTTTTAACATAAAGCAATGTACCTTGAATTTCTGCTATGTCGGTGGCTCCTGGCTCTAGCAGCGCAATCACGGAGTGCAGTATGTCTGTCATGGGGTGTTCCAACCAGTGGAGGTTTGCACGGTTGTTGGTTGTTTCTAAACTGGAAATTTTATAAATACTATCAATTTTATTGGTGACTAGCTGAGACCCGCGGTGTTACCCGCGTTTGTTGTTATAACCGCGGGCAAAGCCGCGGGGCGAACCTAGTCTAAAAAAAGTAGCCTAAGTTACTCCTTATGTCATCAGCTATCTGCCAGTGAAAGTCCCGTCGAAATCGGTCCAGCCGTTCCAGAGATTACCCGGAACAAACAGACAGACAGACAGACAGACAAAAATTGAAAAAAATGTTATTTTGGCATATGTACCGTGTAAACATACATATGCATTTAGTAAAAAGCGGTTATTTTAATATTACAAACAGACACTCCAATTTTATTTATTTGTATAGATATGGCACAGAAATAGTATTTTTTCCTATAATTCCTTTTGTTTTAAAGTTTAACCGCCTTCAAACAATACTAACAAAGAGCACTAAAAAACTAGCAGCAATAGCGGTTGATTTGCTGTCATTTTTTTAAGAGTTCCGTTGTCTGTCTTCGAAACTCATCATACGATCTATTTAAATGGGACAATTTCCGAATAAACCAGTTTCAAACAAAAATAAATTTTAAAAAGCCATCTATATATGACCAAGTTATGCCCAAAAAAATACATCAAAAAATATATAAACATCGAAATTGGTAGCCTCCTCCTTTTCGAAGTCGATTAAAAAAAGCCGGCATTCAATGACAGTACCTGGTAATAATAATGGTACCTGACGCAGGATACACAAGAAGAAGAAAACACAAAAAAATATTACTAACAAAATAGATACTGAATATTATTCTAACTGTATTGGAATTCTAATTTTAGCAGTTTATTCGAAATATTACAAATCGGAATATCGTTTTTCGGCCCGAGAACCCATCGAGCATTTCATTCTTCGAACGTATGAATATCGGAAACAAACGTATCGTATTTACGACTTTCGGTAAAATTAATTTAGTGAAGTTTAATAATAAATATTTTTATTCTTATCATCATCATCAGCCTATCGCAGTCCACTGCTGGACATAGGCCTCTCCCATTGCACGCCACTTAGATCGATTTTGGGCTTCTCGCATCCAGCTGCTGCCAGCCATCTTGTGCAAATCGTCACTCCATCTTAGATATTATGAAATTCAATCTTTTGAAAATCGGAACATCGAAATTCGGAATAAAATATTTCTGAGAATATTGTGTTCCCTTCCTTTGCTTACCTCTTCGGGGATATAATCATGAGTATATACTGTTAGTTACAACTAGCTGCACCTCGCGGTGTGTTTGATAAAGTAGCAAACATATTTCAATTCCTCACTCATCCATCGGGAACGAGCCAGAACGAAAAAGGAGTCTATGTGTTATTCCAGGGTATCAGCTACCTCCATACCTAATTTTATCAAAACTGACTTAGCCGTTTGAGTGTGAAGAAGTAACAAAGACATATATATCAACTTTCTTGTATTTTTCAAGAAACTTATAAGAAGGTACCTTCCGACCACTGAATGAGCAGGTTCTAGAACAGCCTTGACGTGTTCAGGGTCTTTGGTGACTACCAGCATCAATAGGTTCTCCACTCCCACGCTGAAGTAGCCGGTGGATTCTCTCACTATCTCATTGTGTAGCTGTGGATGAGCTTCTGGAGTCGTGGTTTCGAAAACTGGAAATGCAGAATTCTTGGTTGATCAAGTTATCGTCTAACTTTGAGCTAGACAGATGTCAATTGATGTAGCTGCCCCGCCATCATTATCAACATATTTTAATGGTCCACTGCTGGACAAAGGCCTCTCCTTAGAAGGAGGTTTTGGCCTACTATACCACTCCTGCCGGCTGGTATAGGGTTTGTGTCAAGTTTTCCATCTCTTTGCAATGCTGTTGTCCTGCGTAGTTTACTTCCTTAGTCAACTCTTACCACACCCAAACTCTCTCCCAAACACTCGAAGAGCAGCAACGTATCTGTAACTCTTGATTTGTTCATCAGGTTGTTCCTCTGCTCGATTGCTTATATACAACGTTGTTTTGCCATATACATTATTTCTAGGAAATATTGAAAAAAAAATTAGGGGTTGGTCACCCTTGTCATTTAGGGGTAGAAAATATGTGTTGGCCGATTCTCAGACCTACCCGATGTGCACACAAAATTTCATAAAAATTGGTCCAGCCGTTTCGGAGCAGTATGGTAACTAACATTGTGACACGAGAATTTTATATATAAGATAAAAACAGTGGCATTCCGGGAAAAAACGGGAGTGAAAACTTGGTTTTTTTAAAATTATAATGAATGTTTTTTTTGTTTCTTTTCGATTCGTTAAGTGCCGACACGAATATATATCTATGTTGTACGTATATACATAATATATGTTTATATTATATATAGTTATATTATCAATGTATTTCAACCCAAACTCAACTCTCGTGTAAACGTGGCCAATATATGTAGATACTTGTATACAGAGGTGTCGGTAACGGTCACAGTGTCGCGAGAACAATGGTTTTTTTCCCATCTTAAAAAATACTTTCTTTTGTTTGTTGTTCAAATATGCTTAACACGCCTAAAGGAGTTTTTACTTCAAAAATATAGATTTCCTCTCTTCCCTTTAGGGATCAATCATATTTTGTCAACCCCATTTTGTATAGAATACTGTCGTGTACATATTTTTGTTCTTACCCATTCCTTGTAATATGTCTCCTACACTAAATGCTTTTGTCGTTTTTGTATACAAAACTTGCAGATCATTTGCGTTCTTCGGGACCTCTGGAAATAATATTTTTAATTATTTTTATAATCTAGTGGCTTCCTCGAAAATCAAGTGGTTTAGCTGTAAAAACTTAACAGACAGATAGGCAGACAGACTTACAGTATATATTAATACAAATATTCCCTTGGAGTATATATTAATACAGTATATATTAATAAAAAAATCCGTGTGGTGACGGATTAAGAATACAGAGTGTCACCATCCCTATTCATCCCGTGGGTGTCGTAAGAGCCGACTAAGGGAAAAACTACGCAGAATAACAGCACTGCAGAGAGAAGGAAAACTTAACACAAACCCTATACCAACCCGTCTGGCCAGCGTGGTATAGTAGGCCAAAACCTCCTTTCTAAGGAGAGGCTTATGTCCAGCAGTGGACTATTAAAGGCTGTTGATGATGATTCCCTTGGAGTTGCGTAGAGAAGTAGCTTCGCTCTGCATTCTCTATCGTATATATCATGGAGAGTGCTACGAGGAATTGTTCGGACTAATACCGGCCGCAACTTTCCGCCATCAAACACCCCCTCCACTTGGATAATTGGCACTCAACCACCGTGCGCTATTCCAGACACTTTTTGCCTAGCACTACCAACCTGTGGAACGGGTTATCGTCTGCGGTTTTTCCTACGGGTTATGTCCAACCCCCCTAATAAAACTGTAGTGGTCCAGTACTATATATGTTGTTCTGTCACGGTACAATAGTATATACATTGACAGTTCAAGTGATACTGGTCTTTAATATGAAACAAGACAAAACTCGTAAAACGGTTTAGTGAGAAAAGTAAATCCTGTGATTATATTAAAGTGTTAAGGTTTCTGTTTGTAGGATAGAATAAAGAACCCATTACAGTGTCATTTTGTTCTCAGTGTATCCTTCAATACCTTTTTTTCGAGAAATATCTCTAAATAGTTTCTCTTATAATAATAGTTTCTTAATAGTTTATCTCAAGTTAAAATGAACTCAAATAAGTATTAATATTCGTGGTCCCAAATCTGTATATCGCATACTCAAATTCACAAAATTAACGATAATTTTTAGCATTTTTCCTTCCAAGTTACATTGAAACATACAGGTTTTACAGTGACATGTCTTTGTAAGATATTAATTTTTAAAAACCATTGTTTCAAAACCCCAATCGATAGATTCTGAAGAAAATACTTTTTGGAAAACATAATTTAGCGATAAAAATCCGCCATTTTATGTTTTGTTAATTTTCATATTCTCATAACCCTCCTAATCCAGTCGGGTAATAATATGGTCTTATAAGGTCTAATAATATTAAAATTGTTCACTACTTACCAGTTCCAGAAGTTCTAATTATTGTTGCAGTGGGTATCGTTACATTTTTTGAGGAAATTGAACTCCAAGTGTTCGGGATAAGGAACGCTAAAATAAAATTTAAATATTTAACCATTTTTATAATATCTTCACACACGGTCGTGTGATCCCAAACTAGACAGGCCCTGTACTTTGGTAACCAGACTGTTGATGAAGTAAACGTACATATTAAACCCAGACACAGAACAAATGACCAAGCTCATCCACAATTATTATTCCTGGGTGGGAATCGAACCAACGCCTTCCGGCTTAGCAGTCAGAGTTACTAATTACTACACCAACAGGCCAGACTGCTTTTGAATTTACGAGAACCTTCTGCAAATAAAAGGTTGCTCACGTTTCAACCACTTTGCACTGGCCGTGGTCATAGCCTGGCCATCTCAGTCTGTGACTGATGCCCGTGGTCGAAACGTAAATAATTCAAAGGTATATAATATCCTTTACGTGATTGCATTAATTTTCTTTTATCTTCCCGTATATTTATGAATCGGATAAGAATTCTCCGATTCTCGAAACGACCGCTTTTCATCAGGTAACGCGTCTGCTGTTTTCCGTGTGGTGACGGATTAAGAATACGGAATGTCACCACCCCTATTCATCCCATGGGTATCGTAAGAGCTGACTAAGGAAGCAAACTACGCAGGACAACAATACTGTAAAGAGAAGGCAAACTTGACACAAACCCTATACCAACCCGTCTGGCCAGCGTGGTATATTAGGCCTAAACCTCCTTACTAAGGAGAGGCCTATGTCCAGCAGTGAAATATTAAAGGCTGCCGATGATGATGATGATGATGACGCCTCTGCTCCTATGACCCCTAGATCATACAAAATGATTCACTTTTGAAGCCTGAGCTTTTCCTAGTATTCTCTTAGAAACTACCCTAAGAGAATACTAGGAAACCATGAATTTGCTGTAGTATTGGAAGCTTTGGGATTGTTACTGTCCAGTTTTTTAAGCAATATTTGTTAAGACTTTGGACGTACTTTCGTTTGCATTTCCTTGACGTTCTGACTCAGGAGCAAATATGTCCCTGTAGTGCGGTGACAAGTCCGGGAGCAGGTAGTCGTGGGCCAAGGACATCTGCATTTGCTGCTGTAGCCCTGGTACCTTAGTGACACTTGCGGTTGTGGGATTTGTAGATGTTGAACCGACTGCTGATTAATAAAAAATATATATTAATATCATAAACTCTAAATTCGGTGAGGATGGATGTATTGACGTTTGTTATTCAACCCCCCCACTTCCTCTCTTCACCTCTGATCTTGGGAGCCCGGGAGACTCAATGAGCGAAAATTTTATAAAACAGAGTGTACAATGATACTCACTATTGGTCCTTAACAGACCCTTAGGGGCTGTTGGAGATAAAGATCTCAATAGATCTCGCTGTAAAGTCTTTTCTGATGTTATCTTAGGCGCTGCATCTGTGGTGGAATTAGGAGATAAACGATTATTCATATGCCTTAGAAGATCCCGACTCTCTTTAATCTCTTGCTGAACTTCTGCTAGGAAGCTGTGTACGTGTTCGAGGGCTTCCAACTGCTTCCACACTGGATCACTTGCATTTGATTCTACAAACGATTTAACACGAGTAGGTTAGCACTTTGCAAAGTTAGCAATCCTACCCGAGTCAGTCTATGGATGGGTGACCATCTGTGGTAATCGTTAAGGGTAGCTGGAGCATTAAAAAGCCTGATAGCAGTCTTGCTATAGAACATCGATATCGCCAGTCTCACCACCTATTTTTTTTTTTGTTTTCCGTGCGGAAATCCCCTCGGTTACCACCTATCGGTGGCATGTTGGACTCGAACCGACTAAAACCGCACGCCGTCTCGGGTACTAATAGCCGGGGAACCATGTATACCCTAGAAAGGAAGTCCCTGGTGCAACGACATACCTCGGGCCATCTACAACAACAGGTAGACGACCCCCCCCGTGTGGGAACCCCATATTCCCTCTGCTCCCTGAAAGCGAGCGCGCCACCTAGAAAATCGGAGTTCAGCCGTATCCTAGTAGTCTGAATGCCAACCCCCCAACCTAGTTTGGAAAAATGCTTGGAGGATGACTTTGCCCATAGCTTTTATAAAGTGTTAGTATTTACAGAGAGATTGTACATCAGCGCCTTCTAGGAAATACCTAGTCTTTTTTATGGAAGATGGAGCAAACGAGCAGTCGGGTTACCTGATGGAAAGTGACTACCACCGCTACCAATGTTACAAAATCTTTTTTAGACAAAAATGGCTTCCACATCAACACCCTCAGATTGATAGTAGGACCTTAAACATTATAATCAGCGTGAGAATTTCCGATGTATGATGTTTTTGAACCAAATTTGTTTTTGGTGTAGGAGTGCCAAGGAGCAGACGTCACTTGATGGTGAGTGACTACCTTCACTCGTTGACACCTGCGACACTCACGAGTGACAAGTGCGTTGTGCCTTTTAAGTCCCGCCGGTGCGAAGCTGACCTGTTTTTTCAATTTGCCCGAAGAATTGGCTGTTTTAGATGTTGTCTAAATTGTTATTTACCTACTAATACTCCTGTTGGTATACTTACCAAATAATATACATTTAGTTATACAAACATAACTAAACAAATAAACAACTAGGAATAAATTCTTCATATTATTTTTGTTTTATTACATTTATATATTAGACATTTTCTGTTTTAATTTCAAAATATAAAATACATTTTATACCTCTAATATTTTATTTTATTAACATATAATATATTACCTATGTTCTTTTTAAAAGGAGTTATAGTTTTTATCACAAATAAATATGGACATTATTTGATAAGAAATAACAAATTTATTTCTAATATAATAAAATAGAATTTCGTCAGTTCTTTTGCGGCTTTTGCTTGCGGCGGGGTTGTCTGCGCAGTCTGCGTGTCGTGCGTAGTCTGCGCCCTTAATCGGCTCCCACGGGATTAATAGGGATGGTGACTCTCCTTAATAATAATATATAAAAATCATTTATTGAATATAAAAATAAAACTAACCTAACATGTAATTTAATATGCATAAGTACACATGGCGCGATCAACTATGTTGTTTATACAACACCACTTCCAGTAAGCCACACAATCAACTCAAAGAGTGTAGATCTATATTGGTGTCTAAATGTGTCTGTGGGGCACCTCCTCACTCAATATTATCCAAAACATCCTTCATGCTGATTGTCACGACGACACTAATTATGTTGTTTAATAATTAGTTGGCCCACAGTAAAAGCGTTAATTTGAAGTTTGAATGTTTAGAATAATTTGAACCCCTTTTTCGAGTTTTTTTTTAAAACGAATTATTAGCGTGCCTTTAATCATAACGTTGAGGTACCAGGGCGCCAGAACTAATACAGAGAAAAATTGGCTCTTTAAATAAAGAACGAATTGTCGATCGTTTCGAATATCTTGTATCAATTTATTGACTGGTCAATAACTTGAACTTTTATTGTTTAGACTATTGTTCGATCATAGATCAAAATATTATACTGGAACACTACAATTTTATACAGCGTTTTAATATTACGTTTTACTTTGTAGCACATTTTTAGTAAAAATGTTAGCTTTGTACACTTCTTCACATAATAACATGCACAGTGCAAACTCTACAAGTAACTGTAAGATGCTTTTAACAGTTTTTTTGGTAAAAAATTATGTTACGATGCTACAGAACTTCAAAAATAGCCAAAAACAGCTATTTTTGACCTTTAAGGTTAGGATATTTTATCTGGTATCTGGTTTCTGGGTTGTCGGCATGTGTAAGAGTGAAATTGGTTAAAAAGAAATGGATCAGAAAGTTGACCGGCAAGATCCACATTATTAATCTCTAACTTTTTCTAACACCAATCCAGTGGTGGAATTCGGTCCTCACATTTTGCATACTCACTTACCTCTAGCGCTCGGTCTATAAGTATGTGCTTCCATAAGCCATATTTGCTTAAAAAAGGGTATAAAAAAAGTGTGTGTGTGTCTCCCGTTTTTTTTTTCTTAAAATACCCTATAAGATTTTGTTCGGTCCGAAAATCGAATCCACAAGGGCAGCATTTTTTAAATTCCACGCGAACGAAAGTCAAAATATTATATTAAAAATAATGTGTAAATTCTCTTCTTCTCATTCTCTCGCCGACTTAATCCTATACATTTATGTGTTTGTTTCTTTATCATGACGCATTTTCGTTTCATCAAGTTTAATCACAAAGATTCTAAAGAAATTTCACTTCAATATACATTGTGTACAATACAATAACAATATAATAACAATACATTAAATAGACCCCACTTTTACCCCCACTTTAGTGAGCAACGATACCAGGGCACCAGATCCAACGAAGAGTTTCTAACAAAGCAACATTTCCCTTTACCAAAGCTGGGAATCTCGTTAAAATTAATGATATTCATAAATAACATAACATTAAATGTAATAAGTAGGGTTTACATTATTTTTATTACACTTAACTTTTTTTAAACTCGGCACTCGGCCATTTTATGTAAATTCTACTTAATCTATGGCTTGAACGCGTTACCCGCCAAAACGCAGTGTCCTTGTATATTTTATGTTAGCAAAACTTATAAGTAACTTTATTCTACCGGAATAAGGTTGATAATGGTAAATAATCTTGGTAGTTGTATCAGGATGCAGCAATCTCCTACATACGTAGCTTGGCCAGTATGTATAGAGGCGCTCACCCGGCGACTCGTATCGCGGAAATATTTCTATTGTTTTATTACCTGTGGTAAAGTGCAATCGTTCTAATGAAAAAAAAACTTTAAACAAGAATATAGAAGAAAAATAATATATTTATGTGCAGTGAATTGGAAAACAATTGATGATTTTAAATTTCGAAGTGCATTCATTTAAAAAAGTATCGAAAAAAAAACGCATTATCTTTTTTAAATGCTTGTTTTTTTAAGTGATTTTTTAAAATCAATTTGTTTTAATTTTTTGTGGTTTATTAAAAAACATATCGCTGACTTCAATGCGTCTCTAATTGACAATTCTAGGTCAAACCTATATGGTAGTTCCCGTTGACCTACAATCACGAAATTTTTCAAAAAGAAACGTCTTACAGCCCAAATAAAGGACTAATTCCAAAAAATAAAAAAGTTGAAAATTAAGATAAATTTTGGTACTTACTTACAAATTTCGCTAAAATCTACGTAAAATCTGAGTAGGTACGGAACCCTCGGCGCACGAGATCGACTCGTACCTGACCGGTTTTTTTGTTATGTGTATGTTACACATATATAATAATAATAATAATAATAATAACCTCACACATCTCACACACGGCCGTCTGATCCCAAACTAGGCAGAGCCTGTGCTATGGTAACCAGACTGCTGATAAACATACTTATATATTTCTAAAAACATACATATTATAGATAAATTACACCCAGACACAGAACAAACGACCGTGCTCATCACACAAATATTTGTTCTGGGTGGGAATCGAACCCACGACCTCCGGCTTAGCAGTCAGGGTCACTAACCACTGGACCAACAGGCCCGTCTATATTTACTGTAAACGCAATGTCGTCTGGTGTAGGTATGTAAAGTAAAGCAGACGCTGCATGTGGCGTCCGTGAGTTACGATAATAAACCAGGGTTCCAGTCGAAAACCAGCGCCAGGCCTTATCTTGGCAAATGCTGAAATGGACTCCCATTTGGTACAGCGGTGAGACTTAGAAGTTACCTTAAAATTGTAGGCACCCTAAATAGATATCCTGTTTTACTTAATAAATGCTAAAACTTTTATGTTGTAAGAAAGGAATTTTGGAAAATCATCATCATCATCATCAGCCTATCGCAGTCCACTGCTGGACATAGGCCTCTCCCATGTACGGTTGTATGGAATTTCGTCATTTTCAAAGTTATAAATACGAAATAAGAATCAGCGGGGATAGCTATTCATTTAAATAATTATATTATTTACCAAAATATACGTATTTTTAATTTGATGTGTTCATAGAAGAATTAATATTTAGACAATATAAATGCTTTAAGCGAATAAAATGTACGGTGTAGTGGCGGGGCAGAAGCGGGGCACCAACAGGACTAAACAGCTTCGAGATCAGGTGAGGCACTTATCTCTTCATATTTTATTTTGATTTATTTAGTTCGAGAATAAATCGATGTCTTTTTATATTTTTCTAGAGAGAACAGAGTTCTTGGCATAATTTGTAGAACGTAAGGGCGCAACTAAGAGCCTGGTATCTCTTGTTCGAGGTACACTAAAGTAGATATTAGCTAGCAATTCAGGACAATCAAGTCGATTTCGTACAATATCGTACAGAAAACATACATCTAGCATTCGCCGGCGTTCTTCTAACGTCAAAAGCTTAAGTAAGAGTAGCTTTGCTAAGTTTTGAAGTTAAGATGCATAATAAATCTTAAATAAATCTTTTTGAATAGTTACATTTTTATGGAACTTTATGAAGTATTCAACATCACGCTATGACGCTTAGGAGCCTTCGCTTCAGTTACCATAAGATTTCCATGACCTTCAAACCTTCAAGAAAAGACCGTAAAGGCCGGCCACGCGCTTGTGATTCCTGAATTTACAGATGCGTTAGGTAAATACCTAGAGAACGTCAAATTAAAATCTAGAGTTAAATGGACGTATCTTCTTGTTCCTTAAAACTTGACATTCTAGCAGCTTACAGCTTAATTTTAACCTTGAAAGTGGGAAAGCTGGGCAAATTGGTGTTAAGCTCTTTTTTCGTTGATTTTCATTCAGTGAGGTTACCGGAGCCCAAATACTCTTCCTCTGATTTTGGAAGGGAAACTCTTGCGTTGCAGGTGTAGATGGACGGTTACCATCAAATCGGGTCTGCAAGGCCTCTCTGCACCATAAAAATATTATTAGTTAAAAAAAAATGTTTCATAAAATTATTTGAATAACTAGGAGCACATAAATAATCTACAGATAACTTTTTGAAGAGATTGATTCACATCAACAGCCTTTATGGTATAGGAGCTAGCAACGTTTTCGAGAAAGAATTTTAGGACAGCTGATTTTGTGATATGTCGTCCTTCTTGCACTTTCGGTTAGAATCTGGGCTATCTGGCTGGCGGTAGCGGTTGCGTTCATTAGTGCGCATCCTACCTGTCCAGGTAATAATCGTGTATTTTAAAAACATTTTAGAAGGCGTAATTTTTAATTTTTTGTTTATAAATAAGTCTACCTGACATACTTTTTTTATTGCCAGACATTTTTGACAATGCTAACTATGTGCCATACGCGATTTTTTTTAATTTTTTTTATAAAATTTCAAAGTATTTTATAATGTCTGTCATTTTAATATTATGTTATTTAAAGATAAGAAAAACTTAAAATAAATTTGCCAGACATTAATTCGATTGTTAAGTCTTGAATTAAAATTAAAAAGTCATGAAAAGTATTGCAGTATGATGCTAGTACGAGTAGTAACAAGACACATTTTCACTAAATCAACTTCTTCATATCTCACCACTTTTGAAAATAATGTGCCTGAGCAAGAGTTGAGTAAACATAAGATTAGTATTTTGATGATGATGATGCGACTTAACAATCGAATTAATGTCTGGCAAATTTATTTTAAGTTTTTCTTAGTCGTTACGTAACGAAAATTTGGAGAAATGCTCACTCAAAACATTCAACATCTTTATCTCCAATGGCTTTCGGTTGGACCATTAACGGTGACAAATATGATTTTGTCTGGTTTTTGGGAGATCAATTACCATCCTCAGTTGCAGATATTATTGTTCAAAGTAAGTGTGAAATGGAATATTTATCAATAATAACCAAAATGTTTTATAACGAACTAGAAGAATTACACTGTTTATTTTTTTTTTGTTGCAGATCATAGAGTTTTAGAAGATAACGAAAGTTCCCAAGAAGATGATATGAATGACACTGACAAAGACAGCGACGATGATGATAATATAATAATAATAATATAATATAATAATATATTCTACCACATTCACAGAACGCCATCTAGTCCCAAACTAAGCAGAGCTTGTACTATGGGTACTAGACAACTGATATAAATACATATATACTTTTTTTTTTGTAAATACATACATATTATACATAGAAACACCCAGACCAAATCAAACATCAAATGTTCATGCACACAAATGTTTGACTTGAGCGGAAATCGAACCCGCGACCTTTGGAACAGCAGTCCGTTACACAAACCACTACGCCATCCAGTCGTCGCCAACCATCATGATGATGATTATGAAGATGCCTCTTTTTTTGTGACGTCAATATAGGCTGAAACAACTTGAAAAACTTAATATTAATTATTTATAATTTACATTTAGTAATCAGAACAATTTAAATAAAAGTGTTGTTTTTTAAATTTTAATCTAATTTTATATTCCTCTTTATGCTTAATTTTTCTTGAAACTTGCTCTGACTAGAATGATGATTAGTATTATTCTTATTCTTTTTATTATTATATATTTTTTTTTATTATATGCACAGTGAAAAGTAATTTACTTTCGTAATGGTTCTCTGTATCATTCTCGACTTATTTTGCAACTATCTCTCTCGGACTACTAGCATCATACTGCAATACTTTTCATGACTTTTTAATTTTAATTCAAGACTTAACAATCGAATTAATGTCTGGCAAATTTATTTTAAGTTTTTCTTATCTTTAAATAACATAATATTAAAATTACAGACATTATAAAATACTTTGAAATTTTATAAAAAAAATAAAACAAAACGCGTATGGCACATAGTTAGCATTGTCAAAAATGTCTGGCAATAAAAAAAGTATGTCAGGTAGACTTATTTAAAAACAAAAAATTATAAATTACGCCTTCTAAAATGTTTTTAAAATACAGGATGACATAAAAGACAGGATACCTGGACAGGTAGGATGCGCACTAATGAACGCAACCGCTACCGCCAGCCAGATAGCCCAGAGTCTAACCGAAAGTGCAAGAAGGACGACATATCACAAAATCAGCTGTCCTAAAATTCTTACTTTCCAAACGTTGCTAGCTCCCGTACTATTAATAGTCCACTGCTGTACATAAGCCTCTCTTTAGAAAGGAGGTTTGGCCTACTATACCACGCTGGCCAAACGGGTTGGTATAGGGTTTGTGTCAAGTTTTGCCTTCTTTTTGCAGTGCTGGTGTCCTGCGTTGTTTTGCGCCCGGGATGAATTGGGGTAGTGACATTCCGTATTCTAAATCCGTCACCACACGGATAATTCACGGATAATTCAAACAGTGAGGTTACCGGAGCCCAAAAACTCTTCCTCTGATTTTGGAAGAGGACCTCTTGCGCTGCAGGTGAAGATGGGCGGTTATAATTAAAAAAAATATATTCATAAAATGATTTGAATAACTAGGAGCACATAAATAATTTATAGATTACTTCTTGAAGAGATTGATTATTTAACCTATATTTATTTAAGGCTCTATTTGCGCATAAGTCCTGAATATAGTCTTGTCCATTAGTTATCGTTTCGCATAGTCCTACGAATGATTCCATAGCCATTTTTTTAGACTTACATCGAATGGAATTATGCATACGGATATTATGAAGATGTTTGCCGACTAAAGTGGAAATGGAATTTAGAAATTGTACCGACAATTATTGCGATCATAATCTCCGTGGACTAAACTTCTCAGCTTTTAATGTTCATGCAAAACATTTGTGTTTAATTAAAACACTGTTCATGGAACATCAACTCTGTTAGCAAGTTCAGTCCCTCGAGTCGACTTGGCCGGTCGCAATTCGTACTAAATTGTGGATGTCTCCTTACTATGTATGATGTCCTGGTACTTTTGACTAAAAGTGTCTGTTAAGATTTGGAAAATTTATTTTGAATTTATTTTTATAAATCTCTTTTTGTTTGTGATATCCTGGTACTACGCACTTATTTGGGTAAGTAGCTCTTTTAACCGGTTCTTACAGAAGAGGGGGTCATCTTCACGCGGTAGTTGGCGCGGGGTACGTCAGGGTAGCAGGGATTTCCTTTCTAGGTTACACCTGGTTCCCTGGCTTAGTACCTGAGACGGCGTCCGGTTCGAGTCAGACATAACCATCGGCGGGTGGTATCCGAGGGGATTGCCGCACAGAAAAAGGGGGGGGGGGGGGCAACGAGCAGACAGGTCATCTGATGGTAAGTAACTACCGCCACCCATGACACTTGCAACTCAGGAGTTACAAGTCAGTTGCCGCTCTATTAGACACCTCCCCCCCCGGGTCATTAGGATTGAGTGCCACCCAAATTGATGGTGAGGTCAGCACTGCCAAGTCAATGTTGCTTAGGTTTAGTTTCATTCGGGAACAGTAAAGAAGAAAAGAAAGTCAAAATTCAGACTATTCTAGAGGTAAAACTTTTCACAACCAGGAGCACATATCCTTTTAGAGCTTTAATCTATACACAGATAGCCATAGAAAATTTAACCTAAAACCAAATCAATTTCGATTGTTCTATAACTTACCTTCTGTTTTACCAGGAACACATACCTTTTAAGAGCTCGATTTTAAAATCACTACAGCATTACTTGCCAAGTTCTTATGCACCCATTTCGTTGTCTCTGAGTCGGAAGTTCTAACGTTTGTGTGAGTGGGAAATCCCTTTAAAAATTGTGTTGCCATGTCACGTAAAACTCTTCTAAATATCTCCTTTTGTATATAAAATTACTGAACTCATGAGGTAACCGCTGGAGAGTTATGCTTCGACAAATATGCGCTGGCTCGACCGGAGTGATTCCACGGCCTCACAGAAAAACACTGTTAAACTCTAGTGAATGAGGTAACCATAAACCAAACACAAATCTCCCCCTCCCTTCCGAATCTTAGGGGGATGATGCAACGTTGTATCTCTTGAAGTCCAGGTGTCCCTTACTGGTAGGCACTTACTTACTTACCAGGTGATTTGTTTGCTCGTTTGAACCTCATGTTATAAAATGCCTGTAATATTGTAAATGATCTCCAACAGGTTTCTTGTTTTCAATATATTTCTTTGTTAAATAACATGGTCACAGCACGTCAAACACAACTGTTGGTTTTAGGATGTTAGCTCGCGATGTTATTTAAGTTCTATTTTTATGTTACCTTACCCTACATGACAAAGAAGTAATACTTTTGTTACTTTTCACCGAATGATTAATAAGGTTATTGAAGGACCCCCTAATTATGGGGAGGGGGGGGGGGAGAGGGCGTATAAAGGGGAGATAATCGCGTTCAATGAAACATAAAAATACAAAACTTAACATTATTTTGTAAGTTCTTGAAATATTGGTAAAAAAGTACTAGGGCATCAAAACTGGCAGGATGTTTAGTTTAAGAAGAAAAGATGAGCTTTATCATTTACAAATAATTTTAGATTAAACTAGTCGGATTACCCTATTCCCTATTCATACCCTATTCATCCCGTGGGTGTCGTAAGAGCCGACTAAGGGAAAAAACTACGCAGAACAACAGCACTACGGAGAGAAGGAAAACTTGACACAAACCCTATACCAACCTTTCTAAGGACAGACTTATGTCCAGCAGTGGACTATTAAAGGCTGTTGATGAGTCGGAGTAGAGTCCCAAAATCGTACAACTTTGAACAGTCGTTATACGCAAGCACTGATAATAAATAACTTACTCCTGTTGAAAACAGCGTCGGATTTAAAACTTATTCAGAATAAAAATTTAGGAAGAGATTTTTTTTGTTACAATAATGTATTTTTTTATGACATAGGAGAGTAAAAGAGCAGAGCCGAGTGGGTTGGCTGGTGATAAAATGACTACCGCGACCCACGGACACCTCAATCTTAAGAGTGGATACGTAGTAATCAATTTCTTGGTAAAAGTACCAGGAGATCATATATTACAAAGTTTGCGACAAAGTTGGTTTACTACGAAAGTGTTAAGACGAACAAAATGATGTTGATAATAAAAAGAAATCCATGTAGATAGTAACTAAAAGTAACAGGCTCACATCAACTGTTAGGAGTTCTATTCATGCCTTTTACGGTTAAAGGCCTTGAGGAATGTGAACCAAACAAATATCTTATAATCTCTGTATCCCCAGTAGTATTGTGATGGAACAAAATGACATCACCTTGATGTAAACACTGACATCCAATAACGAGTACACAAGCTATCTTACCCAACAGCACTGCAAAGAGAAGGAAAACTTGAAACAAACCCATTTGCCCAGCGTGGTAAAGTAGGTCAAAACCTCCTTTCTAGGGAGAGGCCTATGTCCAGCAGTGGACTATTAAAGGCTGTTGATAAAGCTATCAATATTATTTTAACCTAATTAACCATTAAGTACCTCCATTCATCGCTAGATGTCGCTCCCAAGTGTGTACTGTGTCAAGTAGGTATTTATTATGTATAGTCTAATTTAGCGCGTCTAAGAGGGAACGCTTGAGGTAAGTATCTATTCTGTCTTTATAACTTTATGGTGTAAGGTCTATTTGTTATATTAAGTACAACTTAAGGGTGTTTTTGTCAGTAATAAAGTATCTTTGGTTTTAGGGTAGATTAAAAAAGAACCGTAATGGGACGTTTGGCAGACGTGAAAAATCAAAATTATTTTGTAGAAATAAACATAGGAAAACACCGCATTTCATGTTACACATTTTACATGGTGTGGCGTGTGGCGTTGCCACACCTATAGGTAATGTTACAACATGTTGTAATCTATAAAAATAAATAAAATTGGGGTGTCTGTTTGTAATATTAAAATAACCGCTTTTTACTAAATGCATTTGTATGTTTACAAAATAACATTTTTTACAATTTGTGTCTGTCTGTCTGTCTGTTTGTTCCGTTTAATCTCTGGAACGGCTGGACCGATTTCGACGGGATTTTCACTGGCAGATAGCTGATGACATAAGGAGTAACTTAGGCTACTTTTTTTAGACTAGCTTCTGAGGGGAGCTCGCGTTGCGATGTTTCTATAGTGAATTATCGTTCGACTGGAGCCGGGTGACGCACAGGTCTCGCAGGTGCAAACAAGCACAACAGATTCGCCGCTGAAAACCAACTCCAGGGAGTTCAGCTGTGTGTGTCGACCCACAATTATATCAGCACTGTTGTGCTTATTTGCCACCGTAACGGTGTGCGCACGCCACTGCGAACACACGGCCGGCATGGGGCCGGGAAGCACGGGTAGGTTCCGTGCAGTGAGCAACAATCTTAGAAGGCCTTCGGAAATCCTCGGAAATCTTCTGGCCCTGCGGAGATGTTGCTTGGTCGACGTGCGGGCCTGTCCACCAGCTATGCATTAAGCGCGCTAACAGTATAATATGTATATTTATGACGAAAGAACGGCGTCCTACCTCCTTCCTCGTTTAATTAACAGACTACGCAGTGACTTACGGGCCAAGCTCAACTCGAATAATAATTAAAAAAAAAATAGAGTTTAAAAAAAACAAAAACACGCTTTCTATAGAAAACCAAACTAAAAATTATTTACTATTTTTTAGTATGGTTTTTTTAAATTAGTGTATTGTCATCGGTCCTCGATCTATCTACAAAACTTGAACGAATTCTGACCGTTTAAAGTCAGTCAAAATCACGCCCAAAGGAGTCGGTTACAAACATACAAACAAACATACAAGTGAAGCTAATATAAAGTGTGTAATAAACTCAGGTCTTATTTTATAAGTGAACTTACACAACCACAGGTATATAATTATTATGTATTTGTCTACTTTCGTATGCCTAGCTGATATTACTTTTGGTTTTCTTTTAATAAAAAAAATGACAACGCCCGCATTAGGTACAAGATTACATTTACAAACATACCTGAAACGGACACGAAGAACACCCAAACTCAGAAGAACAATTTGTAGATCACACAAAGTGTCGTCCCATGAGGGGTTTGAACTCACCACACTCGGCATTGTACCACCACTACGCCATCCGTGCAGTCTAAGTTTTTGCCCCCAATGTGTAAGTTCGACATTTTCGAAGTTAGAAAACCAACTAAGAAATAATCAATCGCGGTCAAAAGCTCGTTTCCCATATTGGTAGTCTTTTCAGCTTCAATGAATCTGGTGCGTTATTATTGATATTGCAAGCAGGTAATTTGTTAATTATAACTCTTCATTGTCCCAGAATGCAGAAGAAAAGGACTCGGAAAAGTGCGGCCTCACTGAGAAGCTAATGCAGTACCTCAAGAGAAGGTTCAACCCTCCCGCAGGTGAGTTCATTCCATCTTTTGACGTGCAGGCTGTACAGTTAGTTATAAAACAACCTTTTCAATAGCTGATAGCAACATTTTTTGAATTTAAATGGATAAAAAATATAAATATACGAATTTAAGTAAAACACAAGTTAAAGGCTGTAAACGCCATCTATTGCAAAAAATTGAAACTTGCAGATAATACAGTTGTTTTGCCGAGCCTTATCCGTTCGTATTTTAATGCCATCTAGCGGTAAATAAACACATCACCCTATTTTGTTGGCGTTCGTCTGTTTTAGTTTATATTTTATCCGATAGATGACGCTGGTAACCTTTTAATAAGAGAGTGCATTGAAAGCTAGAAGTACTGTTAAGTCGATGTTTTTCTATTTGTAACAAAATGCGGGATGCAGAATTATATAAATACCTATTTTCTGAATTTACTGAATATTTATGCAAATGTATATATGTAAGTAATATATATTTTGGAATATCACAAAATTATTTCACTGTTACTTTAAATAATTATAAGAAGTCGCTTCACGCATATGTATGTATGTAAATTACGCAATCCGTCACCACACGGGTCAGAGTGTCACCACCCGTATTCATCCCGTGGGTGTCGTAAGAGCCGACTAAGGGAGCAAACTACGCAGGGCAACAGCACTGCAGAGAGAAGGAAAACTTGACACAAACCCTATACCAACCCGTCTGGCCAGCGTGGTATAGTAGGCCAAAACTTCCTTTCTAAGGAGAGGCCCATGTCCAGCAGTGGACTGTTAAAGGCTGTTGGTGGTTGATGAAACTACCCAACGGATAAACGTGCATATTCAGTACAGTACCTTTGATATTTTTTCAAGAAATGAGATATATAAAACATCAATGCTTCTTTACATAGTTTTTTATTGTACGCTTAGATCTTTTCAACTAAGCCACGGATTTTAATGCCATTTTTACCAATAGAGAGAGATAGAGAGTGATTCAAAACGAAGGTTTATATGTATAATACATTCATATCATAGTAGAAAAAACCCAAGAATTTCAAAGATTTGTCGTAAGCAACATGGTTTTGCGTATTACATTTCAAACGTTGGGTAATACTTACGAGATAGACCAAAAAAATGTACTACGAAATTTTATACTTTAAAAAGATCTACAAAAAAGTCGACGCTGCCCATCTCCTAAAGATACCCCACGGTAACCATTTTTATCTTTTAAATATTACAAAATAAATAAACTTACTATTTACGTATTTAAAAAAAATACATTATTATTCCTTATCCAATTAAATACGCTGTGCATTTATTGTAGATTAAAATTGCTCTTAACAGCATATCATTAAAATGAATATTTTAGAAGATATAGGAGGTTTAAAATGCGGGTGCAAAGCGCCCGTCGCCGCTTCGGGCCATACGTCCGTCGCAAGTGGCAGCGGTCGGCAGGATTGGAGCGGGCCTATTTTGCATATAAAGAAGTCCTGTCGTATTGTTCTATCATAATAATAGTATAATTACTTACTTCTACTGACACCACAATAGTAGCATTACTCGTAGTAGTATCTACATTGCACCCGTGCATATTGCTAGTATATTATAAATATAAAAGTGAATTTCTTATATTTCTTTCACGAATGGAAAGCTACATTATCAGTGAGTAACATAGGGTATATTTTACCCCAATAACCGACATACACGCGGGCGGAGCCGTGGGCAAAGCTAGTTTGTTTCTTAAGAGGGGACAAAGAATTTTCTTCATGTATTAATAAACCTATTTAATGGTGTCATTAAGCGAAGGAGAACTGCGAGTGACGTCCTGAGTTCTCATGCGTCCCTGGTAACAAACGGCTGTAGTGCTCAGTTGAGCGTGACGCATAAATCTGTGGTTTTGTTCGCCACATTGAGTTTACAGGCCGTTCGCAAACTTCTTTTACCATTTATTTCGTCACATTTGACAATTACCTATGAACACGTTATGTGGCCCTGGTACTTACGGAACTTTCGTCTATTTTATGTGTGAAATCTTCGCGATGTTTATAAATTAAATTTAAAATAAATTGACGTGACAGCTTTTGACCTTAAGATGTATGCGGGGACTTTTTTTGGCCCAATTTAGGGAGGGGGGGGAACAATAATTTTATGTAAGCATTATGTACGACACGGAGTCAGTCAGCCAGTGAAAACCTTGAACGTGACATTTAACACAATTTACTGTGGGAGAATGGGAATCAGGCTGATGGATTTAGGCACTTCCATTGCCCAACATAGGAACCTTGTTGGACAACACAGGAACATAGGAATCTTACTTTTTGCTTTGCCACTTGCTTTTTGTCTTCGGTTAGGTGCGCCTTGTGTTTCTCCGCATCTTTGTCACTGCGGAGATGCTGTGGACAGTCTTGGACGGCATCTCCTTTCTTGTAGCAGAAGCGCTGACCGTATATAATTATATACACGTATACATATAAATCTGTATATAAAATATAATTATATGTATGTATAGGTGCATATCTTTATATATATAATTCTTCTATGAGTGTGTATGTCACTGAACTTCTCTCAAACGAATGGACAGATTTTGATGAATAGATTCACAATTTTGTCCGCTGGACAATGTTTTTTTAATTAATTTTTAATTTATTAGTAGTTGTTGATTTTGGAATGTTTTACATTGGATCAGACAGACGGCGCTACCATCGCAGTGTCAAATTTGACAGGACAACGTCTGTTGGGTCCGCTAGTGTATATATAAATACTTAAGTATTGTATGTGTCAGTATTATTATCACTTATTGTATATGTATTTTTTTAAATATTCTAATGTAATTAATATAAGTACTCTGGGTATATGATATTCTATATATGCTATATTTTCTTAAAATCACATTTTTAATTTATTCTGTGCATCTACCATGTTTTATCTCTGCATCGCCCTAAGGTTGACTGGGAGAAAATGCCTACGGCATGAAGTCCGCCTTTGTCACATTTGTGCATAAAGTGTAAATAAATAAATAAATAAATAAAAAATCGGTTGTCTGTAAAGTCGGTTTACTGACGATAGTTGAACGTGACAACGTCATAAGAAAATACTGATGGAAAGGTTGCATTTTTCAAAAGAAAATTTTAATTACGCTTCATACTTGACGAAACCATGTAAATGTATTATTGTATAGCAGCTGTCCACGCGGACGCATCGCTCACTCAAGTAGGAGAGAGACAGATGTCAAACGCTGCCGAACGCGGAGGCCGATTGTACCTCTTTGTCGCTCGTTCCGCGCTCTCGCTTGCACTTCAAGCCTTAAATGGAACGCCTCAGAGCGAGGTAACGCCGCATGCGTCATGTTTTTTCGTTCGTGCAGCCGGCTCCATCGAATTATAAGACATTGTCACGTCAAAATATATCTCGAGATCCCAATATTAACAACATTATCCGTCGTGCTCTTGTTACCACCGGCGCGGCGGCGTTCCAGTTGTACGTGAATCTGATGGTCTGGTACGAGACGATGGAAAGGGACCGGATAGTATGTCGTTGCTGCTATGGAAGATGGGTAAGATTTTGATGTAGGACGCAACTTGCGTCGACACCCTTGCGCCATCACATATTCCAAGTGCAGCTGGTTATGCCGGCGCTGCTGCTGCATCCACAGAAACATTCAAACGGCGTAAATACCAAAATTTAGTAGGAAATTACATGTCATGGGGTCCGAGTGCTCGTGCTATGTATAAACAACTAGTTAAGCAACTGTGAACTTCTCGTGATCAGAAGGCAGGCCTATTTCTATCACAGAGAATCAGCATTGCCATTCAACGTGGCAATGCTGCCAGTCTTCTCGGAACGCTACCAGTAGGCGATGATGCGGAGGTATTTTTTGAAGCTTGTATGTAACTAGTGGATATGTTGTAATTTTTTTTATTGCATTTATTTTTTAGTACATAGGATATAATCCTATGTATGTACTAAAAATAGATAAAACCATATGTCATAGGATTATATATTACTATATTATAAAATTGTGTGTTATTTACTGTTAAATAATATTACATAACCTACCAGCTGACCCGTGCTCCACAATGGTGGAATGCCCGGCGTGGGTGGAGCAGAGATGTGACCTCGTGGCGGCCATCGGAGTACCATGATTGCAATCATGGTACAGAGCGACAGGGCGTGGAACTCCGCAATCTTCTTCTGTGAGCAAGTTATGCTTGCGAAGGAGACGGCGGAGAGCCAGGCCCAGAAACGGGCTGGGTACCGCAGACGACTTAGGCGCCGGAGGTCGCAGAACGACCTCCGTCCTCCATAAGCGCCGGCCTGAGGGTGATAGGTGAGGCCTTTTGTCAACCTAGCGGAAGCAGGCCGGGTTGGCACTTTAGGTAATAGAATAGGAACACCGTGGTTCCCCAGGCGGATGTAGCCCGGGGTCCGTCGGGGTACCAGGCATTTCTATCCTAAGGTACACCTGGTTACTGGCACCCGAGAAGGCGTGCGTCAATTCGACTCCGACTTAACCACCGGTGGGTGATATCCGAGGGCATTTCTGCACTGAAAAAAAAAAGGGTTTCTGTGAATGAATTTTTACCCTTTCTATTAAGTTCTTAGCTACATATTTCAATAAAACTGAAAATCCTTTTAGTTGTAAATTTGGTACGTATTTGTAACAAATAGAACCCATAAATCGCGTTCCGCGGGCGCCGACAGCCCGTAAATAGTGAGGAAATGTTCGCGCGTGACGTACGCCTCGCCAACGGCAATACGTTAGCTGCGGCCCGGAGATTTACTATGATATGTAGTCTAAACCTAACTCTAAACACACATTATTTACGAGATACAGCTGTTTTTACTATTCGACAGGCCTTTTTTACTCTATTGGTTAGAGACCCGAACTGCAAAACCAGAGGTCGTGGGTACGGTTTCCACCCAGGACGAACAATCGTCTGATAAACGGTTCTGTGTCTGGGTGTAATTTATCTATAACGTGTATGTATTTAGAAATATATAAGTATGTTTATCAGCAGTCTGGTTACCTTAGTACAGGCTCTGTGTAGTTTGGGATCAGACGGACGTGTGTGTGTGTGAGATCCGTGTGGTGACGG